AGCAATGTTCAAAAAAAAAAAATCTAAAATAATATTTTTAACTAACCATTCAAAATTTTAAACTTGCAACACTTTTTACCAAACATGTTTTCATGTTCTTGCTTCTAAAAATCTTGTAACAAATTTACGTTACCAAACAACTTTCTAAATAGTGTTGAACACACCCTAAAGTCTAAAAACAGAAACATTGTTTCTGCTCAAATCAACTTTGACCCTTTTTTTTAATGCTAACATTTTGAGACATGGACACTCTCAAGAATATGTTAATCAACAAAAAGTTGGTACCAAACAGCTAGACCTTACATCTGTACATTAACCATGAAATTTGTAAATTCGATGGAAATTGAAAATTTCTTTTTCTCATACAAGTATATGTTCCAACTGTGCAAACAAGTGATTCTAAGTAATATTCAAAATTTCTCCAATAACTTTAAATAAGGAAAAGTGGGGTTCACTTTTCGTACAACTATTTATCACTCTTGTAACTTTTAACTCTTATACAATATATGCACACACACACATATATATATATATATGCATATATGTATATCTATATCATCTGATTGCTCAATGTGGCTTATGATTCTTTTACAAATTTTTAGTGCAAAATGGGTGTAAAGAGGAGGCATTTTGGTATCATGAACATGGGATGAATAGGAGGGTGTGTCGGTCCCCGAGGGAGGTGCGCATGTTTGCCAAATTCATTGAGCATTTTAGAGTTGGCTTCTGGTAAGAGCCACAACTCGACAGCCTATACTAGTTGGACCAACTGTCATGGTCTCCCCCACATACTATATATTATATATAGATATATATTATAATATATACACACACACACATCATTTTTTATAAGCTGAAAAGTACCACACAACTCAATTTTCTGTTATGTTAAAATATATATGTATGGTATGATGAAATACTTTTATTATATATTTGTGTATCATTTAAAACTTGTGCATTGGGGAAATTTAACATCATATATGTATTCTGTTAAAACTCATTATCATACATCTTCTTCACCCATTTTTTTTTTTTTTTTTTCAATCTATAATAATTTTGATCTTTCCATTTTAGTAATATTATCTTCAATCTGGTTGGCAGTTTATCACATTTAAAAGTGACATTTGAAAGACTTCGACGACTAAACTGTGGAAATTGATAAATAAATTAATATTTAAGATTTATTGTAAAATGACTTGACATGACAAGCAACCATGATTCCATCTAAATCTCTCTCCTTTGCAATCACTTTTTTCATACAACCATCATTTTTTGTTTTCTTACTATTAGATAAGTATTTTGGACTGTACATCACCATTTATAAAATCTTCATCCACCCTCATTTAGTCATTTAATTTTCCTAAATAATGCCTATTTACATTGCATTTTAGCAATCTGCCTTTGCATTGGTGACAGAGTATCTCCAAAAAAAAAAAAACGAAGCCATGCTCTATATAGGCCGAAATAACTAGCCAACATTCTAACGAATCCATGTGTGGCCAGATGATGCATTCATGTAGGATTCACATGGATCCCATAACAGTGCGTCAAATCGGCATAAATAACTCGATTAGAAACTTTAACTAGTTATTTTTCCTTAAGAATAATTTTTCCCGAGTGAGAAACCGAGTTGTTATTAGCAGAGGCGGAGCCAGGATCTTGAGGTTGGGGGGTCAAAATTATAAACAACATTATTTAGTTAGAACTTTTGAAAAAAAAAAAGTATGCAAAAATATTTTACTATTTATTATATTCATACAAAAATATATCTATCTAAATTTTTTTTTTTTTTAAAAAAAAAATAGACACACACTCACACAAAAATACATATATACATACAAAATTTATATAGAGAGAGGAACAAAAAAAACTTTGAGATTAACCTGAATTGCAGTGTGTATAAAAATTATCTACATCGATGAGAAAGAAGTGATTTTTTTTTTTTTTTTTTTTTTCAATAAGAAATTGTAAGAATATAATGTTTCTTTGTGTGTGAAACTTGTTTCTCTACACTCTCCTAAAAAAACAAAATAACTTAAAAAAAAGAAGCAACAATTGAAAATTTAACAAAACAATAATTATGATAAAAAAAAAAAAACACGAACAAATTAATAAAATAAGAATTTAGATTTTTCGATTTTTGTTGATATTTTTTGTTCTAGATTTTGTAAAAAATAATTTCTTATAGAATTCTTATAAAATGATTCCAATAAAAAAATAAATAAATAAAAAGTGGTCGGAAAGAATCATGTATGAAATGGAATTTTAGGATGATAAGGTTATGAAAAGAATCGTGATTGATTTGGAAGGATTTTAAGATAGACACGTTATGGGAACAACTATATTTGAGTTGAAATTTTAAGATAGATACATTAAATTTTTATATGAGTCACATTTTATCGGGATTCTATAGTCTCATTTAAATCACTTTCCTTTAGATTATCTTTTAAATGCTAATTAAAATAACTCAATAAGGAATTGTAAGAATATAATGTTTTTTTGTGTGTGAAACTTGTTTCTCTACACTCTCCTAAAAAACAAAATAACTTAAAAAAAAAAAAAAAGTAACAATTGAAAATTTAACAAAACAATAATTATGATAAAAAAAACGCAAACAAATTAATAAAATAAGAATTTAGATTCTTCAATCATCCAATTTTGTTAATATTTTTTGTTCTAGATTTTGTAAAAAATAATTTCTTATAGAATTCTTATAAAATGTTTCCAATAAAAAAAAATTAAAAAAAAAAAGTGATCGGAAAGAATCATGTATGAGATGGAATTTTAGGATAATAAGATTATGGAAAGAATCGTGATTGATTTGGAAGAATTTTAAGATAGACACGTTATGGAAACAACTATATTTTGTTTGAGTTGAAATTTTAAGATAGATACATTAAATTTTTATATGAGTCACATTTTATCGGAATTCTAGTCTCATTTAAATCACTTTCCTTTAGATTATATATAAATTATCTTTTAAATGCTAATTAAAATAACTCAATAAGGAATTGTAAGAATATAATGTTTTTTTGTGTGTGAAACTTGTTTCTCTATACTCTCCTAAAAAACAAAATAACTTAAAAAAAAAAAAGTAACAATTGAAAATTTAACAAAACAATAATTATGATAATCTAAATTAATAAAATAAGAATTTAGATTCTTCAATCATCCATTTTTGTTAATATTTTTTGTTCTAGATTTTGTAAAAAATAATTTCTTATAGAATTCTTATAAAATGTTTCCAATAAAAAAAAATTAAAAAAAAAAAAGTGATCGGAAAGAATCATGTATGAGATGGAATTTTAGGATAATAAGATTATGGAAAGAATCGTGATTGATTTGGAAGAATTTTAAGATAGACACGTTATGGAAACAACTATGTTTTGTTTGAGTTGAAATTTTAAGATAGATACATTAAATTTTTATATGAGTCACATTTTATCGGAATTCTATAGTCTCATTTAAATCACTTTCCTTTAGATTATATATAAATTATCTTTTAAATGCTAATTAAAATAACTCAATAAGGAATTGTAAGAATATAATGTTTTTTTGTGTGTGAAACTTGTTTCTCTACACTCTCCTAAAAAACAAAATAACTTAAAAAAAAAAAAAGAAGTAACAATTGAAAATTTAACAAAACAATAATTATGATAAAAAAAACGCAAACAAATTAATAAAATAAGAATTTAGATTCTTCAATCATCCAATTTTGTTAATATTTTTTGTTCTAGATTTTGTAAAAAATAATTTCTTATAGAATTCTTATAAAATGTTTCCAATAAAAAAAAATTAAAAAAAAAAAGGTGATCGGAAAGAATCATGTATGAGATGGAATTTTAGGATAATAAGATTATGGAAAGAATCGTGATTGATTTGGAAGAATTTTAAGATAGACACGTTATGGAAACAACTATGTTTTGTTTGAGTTGAAATTTTAAGATAGATACATTAAATTTTTATATGAGTCACATTTTATCGGAATTCTATAGTCTCATTTAAATCACTTTCCTTTAGATTATATATAAATTATCTTTTAAATGCTAATTAAAATAACTCAATAAGGAATTGTAAGAATATAATGTTTTTTTGTGTGTGAAACTTGTTTCTCTACACTCTCCTAAAAAACAAAATAACTTAAAAAAAAAAAAAAAAAAAAAAAGTAACAATTGAAAATTTAACAAAACAATAATTATGATAATCTAAATTAATAAAATAAGAATTTAGATTCTTCAATCATCCATTTTTGTTAATATTTTTTGTTCTAGATTTTGTAAAAAATAATTTCGTATAGAATTCTTATAAAATGTTTCCATTAAAAAAAAAAAAAAAGTGATCGGAAAGAATCATGTATGAGATGGAATTTTAGAATAATAAGGTTATGGAAAAAATCGTTGGAAGGATTTTAAGATAGTCATATTATGGAAATAACTGTATTTGAGTTGAAATTTTAAGATAATTACATTAATTTTTTGTATGAGCCAGTTTTTATCAGAATTCTATAGTCTCATTTAAATCACTTTCCTTTAGATTATATATAAATTATCCTTTAAATGCTAATTAAAGAAAGAAATTTTTTTTTTTTTTTCTTAGGGGGCGCCAAGTGTGGATTTTATACAATATATGCTAAATTATTTTTATTTTTACCTATGCTAAAAAAAATTCCAAAACATTATGGGGGGTCATGGCCACCCCAGTCCCCCCTTAGCTCCGCCCCTGGTTATTAGCACACCTTAACAACACTGTAAAACTAACACAAATTAGATATGGAGGGATGATAAACTGATTGATGATGATAGATTATGTTAGTGCAAGGTTGGAGGAGGGTCATGGACAGGTAAAAGGACTAGTTAGTTGACAAATTGAAATAGAAAGCCCAACCTACATGAGTTCTTTTCTTGAAAGTCTCAATATTTACCTTCCAAGTTCAATAGACTGTGCCTCTACAGTATTCTGTAACTTTTACAGTTTTACCTACTCCATGGTAATTTATTTTCCCTAATAAACCACACTCTTTATATAGTCTCACACATTACATTCTCTGCTGCATCATCACCCAAAAGGGCCAGAAGACCTCAGGTCAGTGCTTCCACCCACCTCTCATTGCAATCCCTCTGATTAGACTCAAGCATGCAACTTTATAATGATTTATAGTCTATCTTGTTCTTTACTCTTGTTTGAGTTTATAATTTTGTTATTTTGTTAATGGGGTTTTTTTTTTTTTTTTTTTTTTTTTTTTAATTTGTGTCCTTGTTCTCTAGATGAGTTAATCCAGATCTGTCTTTTCTGTTACTGGTGATGTTCTACATTGTGTAGTTTTAAACATGTTATGATGTTACAGAGAATCTGTGGTCAAGGTTTTTCTTGATGTGATGCAATTTAGATGAGCAATGATGAAATAATCATCCATCAAAATGTGTTCTTGATTTGATTTCTTTTCTGTAGTATTTACATTTTAAGTGTTCTTTTTATGGCATACATGTTTTCATAGTCTCCACATTACAAATGTTTCTTCTTCTCTCCATGGTCTAATTGGCTCAGATCCACTTTTAAGCATTTCATAGTTTTCTCTATCTTTTTCGGTCTCTGAGTTTGTTTTGCATGAATTGATGAAGATATGGTCTAATTTTTAGCTCAATGTGTTCTTTGCATTTGCAAAGATATCGATTTGGTGAATTGGTACTTCGTGAAGACTACTTTTTAGAGAACTGATAGGGATACTGTTTAAATTTTAACCTGGATTCAGAAAATGGGTTTTTGACCTAGGAGGATTTTGAAGGGTTTTTATTTTTTATTTTTTTTTATACCTGTTTTGAAGCCCTGAGATATGAATGTCTGTTGGGTTGACTGTGATCTGGTTTGAAAATGGGGTTTTAATTTTGGTTTAGAATTGGAAGTTTTTTCAATTAGGATCGCGATTCTACGAGGTTTCAACTGTTGGGTTAAATGCTGATATGCTAGATATAACTGTTATGGTATCTGAATCTTGCAGGAATTTGAAGAGTGTATTCACTGATTAATTGAAAAAATTGTGAAAGAAATAATGGAATACAAGATGAGCTTCATGGTTAGTAGTATACTAGTGCTTTTGTGTTCTACATCAGCATATGCTCAAACTGTTGGATCTCCAACACTGAGCCCTACTCCAGCACCGGCACCAGCACCGGACTTTGTAAACCTCACTGAATTACTCACTGTAGCCGGCCCATTCAGCACCTTCCTCCGCTACCTTCAATCCACCAAAGTCATCGAAACATTCCAAAACCAAGCCAACAACACTGAGGAAGGGATTACCATCTTTGTACCCAAAGATGCAGCTTTTGCGTCTCTTAAAAAGCCCTCTCTCTCCAATCTCACTGCAGACCAGCTCAAGTCACTCTGCCTTTTCCATGCCTTGCCTCATTACTACTCTCTGTCAGACTTCAAAAACCTCAGCGACGTAAGCCCTATCAGCACATTTGCTGGCGGACAATATAGTCTGAATTTTTCAGATGTGTCCGGGACTGTGCAGTTAGGTTCAGGATGGACAACCACGAGAGTCAGTAGTAGCGTACATTCGACTGATCCTGTTGCAATTTACCAGATCAATAAGGTCCTTCTTCCAGAAGCGATCTTTGGTACTGATATTCCCCCAACCCCGGCTCCAGCTCCATCCCCCGACATTGCACCAGCTGCAGATACTCCAACTGAAAAGAGTGGAAATGAATTATCTCCAGCATCTGCATCACCATCATCTTCTTATAAAATTATCAGCTGGGGTATTTGGAGTCACATGGTTTTGGCAATTTCGGGTGGGCTGTTTCTGTTCTTCTGAGGGAGGTGAGCTGTTTCTGTTCTTGTGATTGGAGGATTTGTTGTCTTTTTATTTATATTAATTGGATACATCCATTCATTTGCTTTAATTTTTAAGCCATTTTTTTGTTCATGTATGTTATCGAGACGAATTATTGAGTATTCTGCAATGTAATTACTGTCTTTATCAAGATGGCCTTTTGCGCCTGTTCATTGATTTCAAATTGGAAATGGTTATGTTTTTTTTTTTTTCTGATCTCAGCATACTATTTTGTGTGTGGAATCTAAGAACTAGTCTACATTCTACTACTAAGCATTGTCCAAATTTAGTTTCTTTTGGTCTCAGTTTTATGTTATATGAGGCCAAATTTGGTTAAATGAACATTTTAACATCCCACAACCAGCAATTAAGAGGTAACTATATTGAAGAACATCATCATCTGAAGCAAGTTGTCCACTAAAGTGTAATTTTGTTCATGTGAATGGGAGAACTAAATTCTATCTTCTACATTATTGAAAGATCACTAGACAAAAGTTGGTGTATGCTTGCGCCTCATGTGAGTTTCTTATGTGGGTGGCCTGCATATATGAGTTTTCTGCAACATGGAAGCATGTCTCTTACCGTGAGTTTTCCTGACATGGCTAACTTGGATCATTTTCACAATGTGGAGGCGTAGCGACGTCCTACATGAATAAACGCCCTTTTCCAAGCTTAAATAGTATATGCTGTGATTGAGCTTTTCCTAGTTTCTGTAAGAAGATTGATGATGCCTAGTCAGACTCCAGGAAGATGAGTTCTGTTGAGCAAAATATATATCACATTCAATTTTCATCACTTATGTCTACTACATTCACTGCTGATATAAAATCACTTTTTCAGTATGTATGATGGTTAAAATTATGAGTATATGCTATATTGGGATCCTTACAAATCCAAATCCAGACCTGTTCAAGTTTGGCAATCAATCACCAAGAAACAATGATAGATTGAAGATTTTATTTTTTAAAAAAATAAAATAAAATAAATCATATGAACAATAAAATGGTGTAAGCTTTTGAAGATGAAAGCCATTACTATTGCAGAACTACAAAATCATATGAACTTCTGATGTTGTGTGCCAGTGTGATAACTATGCCGCTTAAAGAAGTCTTCTTGTTTCTGAATTTCATACCGGTGGCAGGGTTGGTCACTTTGTTTTACCATTCTTGGGTGAGGATAAGATCCATCGATCTGATTTTGTAGATATGACAGGCCATTAATGGAAAGTTGTCTCAGCTTCAAAACATCATTTAAGTGGGTTAGTTTGCTGCAATGGAAAAGGGAGGAAAGGAAAGAAGAGGTAATGGTACGGGGGGTGATTAAAAACTTGTGTTTGGCGTAAATGGTTGGAAGGAAAGTAAAGGAAAGGAAAATAAATGAATGGTTTTGGAAGAATATCACAAGGTTTAAATAGTAACTTTTCTATCCTCCCAAAAATGGGAAGAAATTGAAGGAGAGAAAATGAGAGACTTGATGTATTATTTCAGATGCCAAATTTACCCTCAACACAAAATCAAGATTAATCTGGCATTTGAAATTATACATCAAGCCTCTCCGTCTCTTTCCTTTCATTTTTGGGAGGATAAAGAAAGTTACTATTTAAGCCTTGTGATATCCTTCCAAAATCATCTCTTTCCTTTCCTTTTCTTCCAATCATTTATGCCAAACACAAGTTTTTAATCACCCTCTGTCACCAAACTGACCCTCACATTCAAACGAACCATGGTATCAAAGTACAGTAATAATGAGGTTCAGTTGATTTGATTATGAATTTATATATTGTAAGCTTCAAGCCCTTTCACAACTGGCCCATTAGCTCAGTTGGTTAGAGCGTCGTGCTAATAACGCGAAGGTCGCAGGTTCGAGACCTGCATGGGCCAAATGTTTAATTTTTTATTCCTTTTTCCTTTTTGAACACATTGATTTGCAAATTGCTTCCAAACAACGCATTGTAACATCTCAATTAACTCTTATATGCAGATTGAGATCCTAGTTTGACTATATATGCTGCAAAATTAATATAAAAAGGAAGCATAGTTTGGCCAAGCTCCATCAATTTCTGGCTTCACTGCAATTTTCTTCATAATTTTACTAGAGTTATACAACATAAATTTCTAATAAAAAAGAAGTAAGAAAACAAAAAAGAACCTTAGGTGGCCCTCTTTTATATTCCATTGCAGCCATCTATATGAGTGACAAATTTTCTCCTCCCCATTAAATTCATTTTTTTTCAGCTCTGCTACCAAGATTTTGCTTCTTAATACATACCATTTTTTCAAATTAGCATTGGCAGCACATCGACAGACTTTTCTCCATTTCTGAATCAAAACCGTGCCAGCAGAAGCTAATTTTTTTTAAAATCGACGCATAGTATCCTTCCAATAATCAAGAGGAAAATGTGGTACTTAAACGCGTTTGCTGTGGATCATAAAATGTTTTTAACTGTTAGCACAAGGGCATGGGACTATACTGAATTTCGCCATGGTCATCCAGCTTTGATCTCTTCCATTTTTTTCTTCCCGAAATAGGTTTGCTGAAGTTTGGTTTCAATGTATAATATTTTGTTTCCTTGCACACACCATTAATTGGAATGAACTCTTGTCATATAACTTCATTTTTCTGTAGCTAGTCTGTGTTATGTACTAAGCTTTGTGTTTTAGTATCAATTTTTCCAGCATTATTAGAGCGTTGTCAACAGTGTTTTGACTAATAACAACCACTGTACTGCTAGAAAGGAAATAATCAAGGATGAGCCAGTTCAGGCTGGGGGCATGTGCCCCCTCAATTTTTAAAAAATTGCATTTTTGTATGCATAATTTTTTAAAATTTTCCCCCTCAACTTTATTTTTTTAAAATTTTTTGTATGTATAATTCTTCAAATAATTTAAAATTGCTCTCCCTCAACTTTATTTATTTATTTATTTATTTTTCGTATGTATAATTCTTTAGATTTTAAAAATTTCCCCTCCCAAACTTTAAATTTTTTTTTTTTCATTTCTGTATGTATAATTCTGTAAAATTTTAAAATTGCCCTGCCTCAAAATTTTTTATTGCATTATGCCCCCTGAACATAATTTTTGGCTTCTTCCCTGAAAATAATGCTGGAAAGTAAAAGCAATAGAAAGTGAAATAAGTGATAAAAAAATAATAAATAATAAATAATAAAAAATAAAAAATTTGCTTGTATAATTTGGTCAGAATAAAATGTTTACAAGAAATTTTATAACAAAAAAACCACCATCACATGTTTTTAGACCAAACGAAACCTCATATACAGTGTTCATTTCACCTCCACAACATTAGTACCACCCACAACCATCACCACTAGGTCCACTGCCCTTAGCTACCACCCATCACCACCAGCCTAGAACCATCCCAACCCAACCTAACTAAACCATTTTTGGAACAAACATAAATGAAATCTCTTGGAGTAGGATCAAACACCATTGGATTGGATGGTATTTACTCTTTACATGAATTTTATTATTATTATTATTATTAAAAAGGCAGTGCCTTAAATTGCTTCTCTTTTTCTTTTTTTCAAAAATTATATCGATCAATTATTATTTTTTTTCATATTAATTCGTAAATCTACGTCTCTATTTCATGGATACAAAAAAATGTTATAGAAAGATCAACTTTATGGTATGAATGAGTTTTGGTTCAGATGATATAATTGTTGATTGTGTAAGTCTTGTTAAGGTCAATATTGTGAGTGTTCGTGGAAGAAAATTTAAAAAATAAAAATCAATTTTATTACATATATTAATTTTTAACTTTTATCTTATATTTTCTAGGACATAAAATAGGGAAATCAACAACTTAATTTAGGTAGGCGCATTCCTACCACTTTTTTATATTGGAAAAAAACAAACGGTCCTCAAGAAATTAATGAATCAAATATATCCTTTGCTTTTGGCTCCTGAGTATTCGCGGGTCCGAGAGGCAAAACGGTTTTTTCTCTGCTCTCTCTCTCTCTCCATCTTTCATTGGAATACCTGAAGAACACCCAAACCTCCAAGAGAACGAGAAAGCTCTTTCTGAGTTCAGAAGGTTCGTTTTCTCTCCCTCTCTCTCTAGGCATCCTGTTTCTCTAATGGGTTGCAATTATCTTTTCTATTACATTCGTAGACCACTACATTTTCTCTGCCCTTTGTTTGGTTGCTAAGAAAATAGAGGAAGAGAGATTGAAATTTGATTTGTTAAATATGAGATTAGGAAAAGTTCTGCTTGAGGGGGATTTATTTCTTTATTCTCGAGTGATGAAAATCTAATATATGTGTTTGTGTGTGTGTGTGTGTGTGTGTGTATTCCTTTACATTTTCTCAGCATCCTAAGGTTGTGTTATTCTTTTATTGAACAGTCATATTAGGTGGTAAAAAAGCTCAATTGTCATTGCTTAGGGCAATGGTAAAAGCTCGAACTGACGAGCAAGCAGATTCGAGTTTAAGAGCAACCACTTTGTGTAAAATATCGCCAAAGGTTAGGCCTGTCTCAGATCATGCCCTCCCAGCACTCACTAGTCATATGAGTTTCGATTGAATATGAATGCACATTAAACCACCTATATATCATCAATCCTCAATGGCTCATGATAGTTTTTCATTAATTTGGATATAAATTCTTTTGTATATTGGCTATCCAATTTTACATGCTTGGACTATCTTATTTAGTTTTTTCTAAATTTGGTGTTTGCTTTATTCATTTAGTTTTCTTCTTCTCATTGGGGGCTCGCGCAAGCGAAAGCACAAGCACAAGCACAAGAACAAACAAAAATGTCTAGCGCCGTGGGCATTTTTGTTTCTGATCCATGGCTTCAAAGCCAATTCACTCAATTTGAGCTTCGTGGCCTCAACTCCAAAGTATGTCAGTCTATCAATTTTTTGAGGTTTTCTTTCTTTTTTACTTATTTAATTTTTAAAAAATTATGAGAAAAACATGTGACCAAGTTGCAACTTTTGGGTGAGATGTTAAATGGGGTGCATCTTTCTGCTTATAGTTTCTTTCAGCAAGGAATCAATCGGGTCATGTCACTGTGGGAGATTTGCCACCAGTGTTGGCAAAATTGAAGGCTTTCAGTGAAATGTTTACAGAGGAAGAAATTAAGGCTGTATTGGGGGAGGAGTCGCCTAACATGAGTGAAGAAGTTGATTTTGAATCTTTCCTTCGGGTGAGTTTTTAAGGACGTTGGTCGTACAGCTGCTTTTCAATTTTCGTGCATTTATTCATAATTTTTTTTCATGCTGACGGTTGAAATATATCCTTAGAAACTGGGGATAAGATAGATAAAAAAATAAAGGTTGAGCAATTATGCCATTGGATGCCCATTGTGATCTTTTGTCTCAATTTTTTATAATAGTTATTTCGGATAGTTTTGGTTTTGAAATATTATTATAAGAAAATGGGAAAAAAAAATGCAGGATTTCATTAATGGGAAGTCTTCTATCAATTTGCATGCCTTATATGTCATTTGCTCCTGTATATTATTGATGTTCTTTGTGTTTGGTAGATGAATTATTGTTTTCTTGGAAGTGGTAGAAAGAAAACAAAACCTTAGTGGGGTTTTGTGATTGGCAGGCATACCTAAATGTACAAGCACGAGCCACAGCAAAATTTGGAAAATCAAAAAAATCTTCTTCATTCCTCAAGTCTTCTTCATTCCTCAAGGCCACCACAACCACCCTTCGCCACACCATTGCTGAATCTGAGAAGGCTTCATATGTTGCCCACATTAACAGCTTCCTTGGAGATGATCCTTTCTTGCAGAAATATCTTCCTATGGATCCATCTACCAATGCTTTATTTGATCTCGCAAAGGACGGAGTTCTTCTCTGGTACATATATATCTAGCACCCACCTGACACTCTTATACTTATCAATTTAATGTTTGCGTCAGTGATCCATTAAGCACTTCATGCAGTAAGCTCATTAATGTAGCTGTCCCTGGTACAATAGACGAGCGTGCTATTAACACGAAACAAGTCCTTAATCCTTGGGAAAGGAATGAGAACCACACCCTTTGCCTCAATTCTGCGAAGGCTATTGGTTGCACAGTGGTTAATATTGGCACGGAGGACCTAGTTGAAGGAAGAGTAGGTTAAGCTAATGTTAGCTTTACTATTAAAATCTTGTTGGACAAATCTTTATCAGCTCTACGGATGTTTCTGATGTCTGTTCCTTTTGTTCATTTTGTAGCCCCATCTGTTACTTGGATTGATTTCTCAAATAATCAAGGTATATTCACTAACCCTGCTGGTTATGTGCTTCAAACATGGATATATATTACCAGAATTCTTAAACTTTTTATATGATGGCAAAATCAGATTCAACTTTTGGCTGATCTCAATCTGAAGAAAACTCCTCAACTTGTGGAATTGGTGGATGATAGCAAGGTCGGAAGATGTTGATGGGTTTTGCTTTTTTTATATTTCTATAATGGAAAAGACTGAAGCAAATAACATGTTGTCTAATTTGCAGGATGTGGAAGAGCTCATGGGTTTACCTCCAGAAAAGGTTTTATTGAAATGGATGAATTTTCAGTTAAAAAAAGGAGGCTACAACAAACAGGTTACAAATTTCTCGACTGATCTGAAGGTAAGAAAAAATCACTACTTTTTTATGTGGTAGAGCAGTCTGTTTTATATTTTGCAATGGCAACTTAAGTTTGCAGTATCATTTACTGACTTGCGGGTCAGAATGACATTCAATCACAATGCATTGGACAATTTGGATGACATAAAGATACCCTACATGTAAGGCTTAAAAAATCTAGAAACTAAAATTATGATAAAAAATTTTATAATAAAAAAAGGCATAGACTAAACTAAAATACAGATTCTAGAATGTATACATTGCTTAAATGCTTAATACAGGCATTAAAATCCTATGTGGTGATGTTAGATAACACTGATTGATAAATATTAATGAGATATACAGATGATGCAAAATGCACTACATTTATTTTTTCCCTAATTAAAGTATGGGAATTCATGGGGGGATTGAACCCAAAATATACTAAATAAATCAAATCAGTTATTATGATCAAAATCATCTTCTCAAATATTCTAATCTTTCTTATCATGCTTTTGTGTATCATGATGTTATTATTAAGTATTAGCTGGTGGAAATGGTAACTGATTTGAAATTTTTAAGTGGAAGCTTACAGAGGTTTCTCAACTACTGTCCAATCCTCTTTCGTAGGATTCACCGAATTTTTAATCTTGAAATAAACAGTATAAGTGAACAAATATGTAATTACATTATCAGATAGGTAATAGTAGAGAAATGAATTCTCTCATGAATTGCAGTGAGGTCTGAGGGACAACAAATTGATTGGTTGGCGGTGAAAAGGAATGAGAGACTGAGATCCATTTTAGCCCGCAGAAGGAGACAAAGGATGTCTCGCGATGTGATTTGCTGATATCGAGTTTATCACTAGACATCTCATGATTTGCTGAATTCAAGACTTATCACACATTACTTACAAAAAAAGAATTATCACACATCAAACTGGTCAAGGTCCATTCCATGTCCAACTCACCAGCAACTGGTACCCTGACTTGATTAACTTGGTGAGTTGCCTGAGATTTTGAACCCTTCATATCAGCGTGTATATTTAGTCTCACCACTCACGTATGTCCCATATCAGTGTCCATACTTCATAATCCTTTGTCTACTAGGCGATTGTAAATTGGAGAGTTTCTATTTTCGTCTTATGGTTCTATATTTGCAAGCCATATAGAGACCATGAAAAAGAAATTTGATGGATAGAATTTCTCTACAAATGTTCTATTGTAGTGGTGACAAATTATTATCTTTCATAAATGAGACTCTTAGTAGGCGGTAGATTCTAAGGTTTCTGTTCTTCCAGAACCAGCCCTCTAATCACCCTAATTTAATCACCAAAATTTCAATCCTTGGTTCACAAACACGACCCTATTTTTACCTACCATCCTAGCCCTATAACTTTTGATGTCACTTGATCTTTTTAGGTTCCTCTCTTTCTATCTGTCCATTTTCTACTGCTTGTAGTTGTTTAAGTCTCCTTGCATTGACTAATTGCTTTCATTTTACAAATATGTCTGTGTATGTGGAATGATAAGGCAGTTGCTTAGTTAACTTAGTAAATTAAAAAGTACATATTATTTTTTAGGGGAATAAGATTTTTGGAATAGAATGGTCTTGGTTTCTTCAGGAAGTAGTTACTTAAGGTTGGGAGACCTTTAGTGAATGTTGGGTTCTTAGAAATAAGCCAGTTTGTTAATCTTAGTTTTCATAATTCACATTTTTCTTTAGAATTTTGAACTTTTGAAGTATCATCTCTCAATCCTGTCCTTTCTTGATATAAAGCAACCAATGAATCCCATGAATCTGTGCTACAAAGGTCTTTGAATAGAGAAAAAATCTTGAATCTAAGTTTTGTGAACTATTCTTTATCTGTTTTCTATTGCAAATATTTTTTATTTCAAGGAAAGACTTCCATGTGTCATGCAACCGATTCAACTAATCAAGTGTAAAGAAACCAAAACATATATCAGCAATATTAACCCATCAATAAATTTAAACTACAATATTACCACCAGTAATTTTGGCTTTTCCAAAGTGATATGATAGGCTTATGCACTTGCAGGACGGAGAGGCCTATGCTCACTTGCTCAATGTTCTTGCACCAGAACACGGTACCGCTGACACCTTGGATACTAAGGATCCCTCTGAAAGAGCAAATTTGATTCTTGAGCATGCGGAGAAAATGGAATGCAAAAGATACATCACTCCAAAGGACATTGTTGAGGGCTCGCCTAATTTAAATCTTGCATTTGTTGCACAAATATTTCAACACAGGTCAGAATAAACGTTTTTGTTTCTTTATGTCTGGTGAAGGACAAAGATTTATTCTACCTTTACCTTGCTAGTGTGGTGATACGAAATGTTTTGAGACCTACAATGTGACATTTAAAAACTATCTTTTTCGTAATTGGATTGTTAATTCGTTAAGTGTGACAATATTTTGCGCATTCAGAAGAAAATATGATACACAATAAGGGATTTGCCTGGCAACTTGTTCTGGATTCTGTGCAGCTGTGCGTCCTGTTAAATTTTCAGAGATGTTTGTTTTAGCAAAATGGCTATTGAAAGATAAGCAGTGTCCAGATTGTTAATATTGTGAGCTATGAAATTATTTTTAGTTTTAGATGCATATGTCGCATGGTTGGCACAATCGACAATATTTCTTGTTCTCACATTCTGAAGCGAGTATTTGTTTCTCAAATTGCCTGGAGAATTGTGGGGAATTTTCCTTATCGCCTGTCCTTGTGTGTTACCTAATATTCTAATAATATTTTTCCTCCTGGCAATGAATGGCTTTTCAATTACATTAGATTGTTTATCCTTTTTCTTTTTTCTTTTTACTTTCTTTTTTTTTTTTTTTTTTTTTTCAATTTTAGCTATTTTGTGCATATTTATTCAGTTTAGATATCTGTATAATTAGTGTGTGCATTTTTTTTTCTTCCAGGAATGGCCTAACTGTGGACAGCAAAAGTATCTCCTTTGCTGAGATGATGACAGACGACACTCAAACTTCTAGGGAGGAGAGATGCTTTCGGCTGTGGATTAACAGTCTTGGAATTGATTCATATGTCAATAATGTGTTTGAGGATGCCAGATCTGGGTGAGGTTCCCATATCTTGCAATATATTGACCCCTCATATTTTTAGCTGATATCTATCATTCGTGCATGCAGGTGGGTTATTTTGGAAGTTCTTGACAAAGTTTCTTCAGGATCAGTCAACTGGAAGGAGGCAACAAAACCTCCCATTAAGATGCCTTTTAGAAAAGTTGAGAATTGTAACCAAATTATAAGGATTGGAAAGCAATTAAATTTCTCCCTTGTGAATGTAGCTGGAAATGATATTGTACAAGGAAACAAGAAGCTCATACTAGGTTAGTGTGCTGCATTTCTTATCTTTTACTTTCCTCCTCATTTCCCCCACCCTACACAAAAATAAATAAATAAACTAAAGAAAGATACAAAACATGATTCATGTAACCAATTGTAGTGGTTGGAACGGAACAATGTTTGATTGAATTGAGTTGTTGAGTAGTGACTTATTTTGGAGCATTGGAAAAGGTGTATTTTGGTAAGGAAGTTTTGGTGGGTGTAGCTTTTAATCTCCAGTAACATCCTAGCACACCACCTAGCCATGACTTGCATTAGGTAATGACTTTTTTCTATACTGTAACCATGTACACGTATTTGACCTAATGTATTTGAGATTAGGTAATGACCTTTTTTCCGTACTGTAACCAAGTACATGTATTTGACATTTGTTTGTCGAAGTGCATAAGCTGTGATTCAATGAAAAATATCCGGTAGGCCCTTGTTTCTTTTCAAGTAAAAGCAGCGTATTGTCACGGGTTTAGAGTTTCAGCACCACTCTAGCTGCTCCCGTGCGGCACCAAGACGTTGCTTTCACTCTCGCAAGTACTTGGTCAGCCTAACTCCCGTGCACACCTTAGCCAACACACTCCCCTCGTGCCCTTACTAGTGTTGTAGTTGCCCTCGCCCTCTCCTCACTTGGCTTGCACACTCACACACAGTAAGGCACTTAAGTTGGCAAGGAAAGAACACTTCTATTACTTCAAAGAATGCTTTGTACAAGGCTAACACTCAAGCTCTCTACAAGGCTCTCAAGACTCACTCCAGGACTTGTTGCCTACAAAATGAAGTCCTACCTCTATTTATAGGCATCCCCATCCCCAATGGACGGCTAGGATGCATTTTAACCGATGGTGGAGATCGATTTTCTAGAATCTTCTCCCACCTTCTTCACACTTCCATACTTATCCATAAATATCTACAACATTCTAGAATTCTCCATACTACTCCACACAACTCTGGAGAACTCTAGAACCTTCCACACACTTCTACATATTTCTACACATATCTAGAATCTTCCACACAACTCTAGACTACTCCGAAAGACTCTAGAAACTCCACTTGCCATGCAGTTGTCATGCAGCGTCCTCCTCAGCGTCTGCGTGTCGCCTGCGTGGCACAACCTCCATAGGCGGGGCGTGACAGTATGCTCCTTTAACTGCTGGTGACTGAATTGGAAACATTGCCTAATCATTGACATGCTCTTTTTCTACTGCTTTTTTGTTCTCAAAACAATTATTGACCTAAAATTTGCTTTTATTAGTTTTTAGATTCATTGTTTTTCGTTTCAAGTACTATGTGTACTTTTTGTAGAAACTTATTATCTTCAAATTCCATTTCTATGTTTACTCACAAAGTGAAAAGCAACGAATAAAACCTCAAATTGTTTACCTTTTCCCTATCAGCTTTTTTATGGCAGTTGATGAGGTTTTCTATGCTCAAACTACTGAAAAACTTGAGGTCCCATTCCCAAGGAAAGGAGATAACGGATGGTGATATTTTAAATTGGGCAAACAACAAAGTGAAGATCGCTGGCAAAACATCTCAAGTGGAAAGCTTCAAGGTAAGCAGAAAACACTTGATTTTGTATTAAAATAGATTCCCATGTCATGTTTAATAGCTTGATATTTTGCGGAATTTACTTTGTTTTCTTTCAGGATAAAAGCCTTTCAAATGGGATTTTCTTTCTCGAACTTCTTAGTGCTGTAGAGCCAAGGGTTGTCAACTGGAGTGTTGTTACCAAGGGCGAAACTGGTATATTGTTCTTTGTACTAGGGAGATTTTATTTTTTCAGTTTGTGTTCGGTGGATATTGTTTTTTTTTTTTTTTTCTTTTTTGTCTTTCAAATTGTTGGTAATTAGCTGCAGATTCTGAAGTTTGAGTAGCATAACCCTGAATTCCCCAATTTTGCTTCAGTTTTGGCTTTTTAGCCAGCCCGTGATTCGAATTTATATAAAGTATTATGATATTCTTAGTCTAGGAATATGACTGGAAGCATCTTACTTGATGTTATTGCAATGGCAGACGAGGATAAGAAATTGAATGCAACTTACATTATCAGTGTTGCTCGAAAGCTTGGGTGCTCCATTTTCTTATTGCCTGAGGACATAATTGAGGTAAGAGTATAATCATTTTGAACTTGATCGCTCAGAGGTTCAGTCACTACACAAGTACATCTTGGAAATCACTCCATTTGGTAGGTGTTAGTGTTACAGTGGCACTAATGGTTGTAGTTGTCAAATACCAACTCCCTAGATGATATCAACTTTTAATGGTAGTTACCCAGCCTCTTGAACTTGTTGCCACCCTTCATCTGATTGATTCAACCCATAGTCTTCCTATTGATGGAAACTGGTGTCACTTGGTTGACCTCATCATTCTATCAATGGGTTGGCGAAGGTTTATAGTGTGCCCATCACTATGCATGAAGTGTTGGTAGAGATGTCAATCTGTCATCTGACATTTCATGGTTGGTTCTAGCCATCACCAGCTAAAATGGAATAATTTTGGTTGTGGTTTCCTAAATATGACCAGGAAGTTTGAGAAATAAGAAATTGGTACATTTCACATTGGATTAATACGTAAATTCAGTGTTAAAGTACACTGTAATTTTGATTGTGTTTGACAGGTGAACCAGAAGATGATCCTCACCCTAACAGCAAGCATCATGTACTGGAGCCTGCAACAAAAAGCTGAGGATTCAGAGTCAACCACACCTACCGAAGACAAGAAAGCACCGGAGGGCGACAAACAATAAAACCTCTCCAAAAAAGTTGAAAACAAGAAACCTCACCGCATGGTCCAAAGGATGACTCTAGGTGGAGAATGACCAAGAATTGCAACTCCCAAAATTTTTTCTTCGAGCCCTTACTTTCCTTTCGAGGACAAGAAAAATGAAAATCCAGTTGCAGTTAGTTGATCTGTGAGATGGTACTCCTGTATGGGACAGGGCATGGTCAATTTTGTTCTGATCAACCACAGAAAAAGAGAAGTTATTGTAAATTTTACCTTGTGTAATTATAGTCTACTGTTCTTATATATATTCTTTCTCACAATTGTTATATTGATTATATAATGAATAATGCAACTGGGGAGAAATTATCCTCAGTATCATACTCCATGGGAATCTCTTCTTTAATCCACTTTTTTCAGGCGTCTTACACTTGCATAGATTCTTATGAAGGTCGGAACTATGCCAACAAGAAGTAATAGAAAATTAAAACTAGAGAGTTCGATAGTCAGTATGCATTTTAGCACTTGCAACGCATACAAGGTCAGGGATTTTTTTTAATTTATTTTTATTTTTATTTTTATTTGTCTGTCCAGGAAAGCTAGCAGTTATAATTGGGTCTTGTACAGGTATTTTGCAAAGTAATAACACTCATGAGAGTAACTTCAAAAAAAATAAAAAAAATATTATGATAACACCACTCATGAGAGCACATTCAACCAGTTTATCCAAGTAGAAACACCAAGTGTTTGCTTTTGTATCCATAAAGACAAGCTACAGCCTACACAAAAGAATATAAAGAATACAACAGATTTAAGTTCAAGAGCAATTATTTTGAGAGCAGTCATTTTGTGAAAGTTCATGTTAAATTCAATCAGCATCCAGTAGGTGTGAGCAACAATAGTAATTACAAAATTCATAGGTACTTCAGACAACAGAAATCACAAAAAAACAACTAAAGCTCTCAATTTATTTAGTAAACAAATGTGCGGTTACAAAATTGCACTGCTACAACAACAAAGTACTTGTGTATGTAAATAAAAATGAAGAACACGTACATTATTTCTTTTATTCACTTTGGTGTAAGAATAGAGAACAAGGAGAAGCCAGATCCAGAGACCAAGAGAATGTCGTTCATTCATCAGTACTGTCGGCAAGAGCACTTGATTTTTCTTGTTCCGCAACAACCATAAGCATCTCAAGTCGTTTGTCAAAAAGTAATGCACTCTCATCTCTCTCGTCAAGTTCAGCACCTTCAGCCTCGAGCCATTTTTCTCGCAGATCATCAAGAAGATTACCTTGGTCTGTGTTGACCCCAGCTCCTGGAGCACTTGGCGCAGTGGTTCGGAGTGAGGAATCTCCAGATGGTGGCGGAAGCGTTAAAAGCATTGACCGGAACTCGGGAGTGTCAGCAAATGTTTCGAAGTCACAAGCTATTGCATCTAGACAATACTCCCGAATCTTTAGAACACCATACCTGCACATGCAACAGATCACATCAATAAGTGTTACAGAACATACCCAATGAGGTATTAAAAAATCTAATGATTGGGCCCTTTTTTTTCAATATCCACTATGTGGCTGAAATTTAAAAGGTTGATCAGACTCCCATTAAAAATCTAATTACCCAATGGGCCACGTATTCTTCCCACAATCCATACTAAATATGATCAATCCACATTCAGAATACTCATGTGTTTCTGACCGATGACCAAATCATGCAATAGATGGGATCTACATAAGCAGGAACCACCACAGCATCTTGGCATTTTTCTTCCTCCACAGTCCACAACAAATATCCAATATTTAAGAAAATGTTTTAGAGAACAACAAAATTAGTTTCAGGATTAAAAAACAGTTCCCAGATGTCCTACACAATCTTCATGGATGACCTAATCAGGAATGTGAAGAAAATTAGAATCCACTCCTGTGGATTGAATTGAAGTTATAAAGTTAACATTATGGCTTTCCTTCCCAAGTCAGGAATTATTTAAATATGATTCAGTAGAATTTGGGGGTGGGGGGAGCGGAAGGGAGAAACTATCACAGTGGCCATCTATTCCCACAGAGGCAAAAAAAATAAAAATAAAAATAAAATAAAATAAAAAGACAGAGAGAGAGAAAGTTAGAAAAAAGTGGAAAAACGTACATGTCCGACAATACCAGCCAATGACACAATTCTGCAGGTGGAACATTTTCCAGGTGAGGCAACAGAACATCAGCTACAGCTCGCTTAAGAGGAAATAACAAATATCTTGAAGCAGCATCAAACATTTCGTCTGCCTGCATAAAAAAATATGTATGTATATATATATTATATAATAAAATAATACGTAGTAATAATAAATCCACTACCATTCTACAATGTTAAGAAAATATTCTTAACCATGTAAATCATATAAAACATACCTGATCTGGGTTAATATCTTTCAAACCATCAGTGTACCTGAACCAACAAGTCAGATAAATCACATGAAACAAGTTTGGAGTTACATTGTTTGAAGCTGCTAAAATTATCAGAATCTACAATATTAAGGAACATAGGTTAAATAATAGTTGATTACAAATAGTCTGTTATAAAAAACAATGCTATTGTATTGAATAAGGGCAACCCTAACATTAGGACCTGCATCTTTGATTACTAAGACAGCACAGTCAAGAGAACCCACACGATCAAAATCTGACCAAGTGATCAGTGTCTACAACAAGAAGAAGACATCTAAAGGAGCATTTATTGTCTTCCAAGTATTTAATTCGTATTAGGCCACTTACACAAAAAATAAAAAAAATAAAAAATTAAATAAATAAACTTACATATATTCAATCATTTTCTCAAATGCCTCCATGCTCAGATCATGTTCTTCAAGACATGGAAGAATACCAGGTAAACCATTTTTTCCTTCAAAAAAATCTTTCATACGGGACAATCTTGCTTTAAAGTACTCAGATCTTGATGCTAAGACCACTTGATGGCAGCGAAAGATCTTTTTATCAACTCTAACACAAACATCTGCATGATCATGCTCAAATTCACTAATCTGCATTGCACCAATGCAGGACACCAAATTGTCAACACCACCCTCTACATTCTGCTCCCTAGTTGAATTGGCAAGAGAAATTTCAAGGATCCGATGCAGAGCAGCAGGAAGACGGTCTTCCTCAGGAAGGGACAGGCCCTGTAGGATAAACCGTTTCAGAGAGTTGTCCATATCTCTGAGAGCTTTGTAGTCTGCATATTTTTGGTGAATCAGTTCTTTCTCGAGAACCCTCTGTAATGATTCACACTTGCAAACCTTACTAATTCTCACAAGATCTTCCATGTCATCTACTGCAATCTCAAGTCTATCAGAATAAAAGAAGTGTATGAGGCTGTAAAGAGCAGGATAAGACAACTTTTCCCTTGAAAATCTTACTTCCTTGCGATCTTTCCAGTCAGTCTCAAATTTTTTCTTGAAAAAAGGTGACCTAGCACTCAAAATGACTCTGTGAGCTTCAATAGGTCTACCTTGAATATAAAATACAACGTCTGGAGGGAAGTGGCTGGAACTAAATCCTCCATTTGATGAATAACCTAATCAATATCCCGCACCATGTGAGATCAATATATAAATTAATCTTGAAGGCACAACTTAGATATCAGATTCATAATCCAAATATAAGATATGCAGCCAATATAAGTTGACAAAAATGAAAAATGATCAAGCATCTAAATCCATGAGTTCCAGTAATGAAACTAAAACAATATGTTTGTTAACAATCTCTGGCGTTTAGACAGCAGCAAGCGACCACAGCCTCATAAGAGTGACAGATATAACTTCTCCAAGTAGAATGGCAGAATAGACTGTGAGCTGGCATATATTTAAAAATTATAAGTAGGTCATGTAAATTTCATTAGATGTTAGCGTAGATAGCAAAACAACTAAAAACTGAAAATGACTGCCAAGTTTCTCTTCTCTACATAGAATAACAATCCACAAAACTTGACTATTGTATGAAACATTTCTCAGATACGAGCATGTCCTCAAGTCAGGATATGTGAACCTCACACTACGGGGTTACTTTTCACTTTACCTGGATGCATAAGCACAACAAAATTTCTAACACAATGGTTCCATTAATCCAAACAACATTACCTAGAACATGGATTGTTAAGGAATAACAGAATGGGGATGAAGGATGCCACATGTTGGACATGATTGTTCATATTTCAGGATGCACGTTCGGAAACACATATCACTAGACCATTGGTCTTTTTCTACTAATTATGGTTCCAACTAAATGAAAGGTTCGATATCAAAACATCTCTTGAATCTTGAAGTAAGAGGCACTATTTTACCATATTTAGCACATTTCAAAGTTCATCATGCAAGCATACTAGCACACAGCATAAAATTGGCTGTTACGCAATCAACTGTCAGAATCCATCTTGTCAAATAAACGACCAGTCACATAACATGTAATGTAGTTAGCCATCTTGAAAAGGACACTTAGAATGGCAGCTAGTGCAGGAATACAATTTAGTCATAAAAGATAAAATCATAAAATATGATGCTAAAACTAAAATAAAAATATGTCACATGTGTATGGCAATTGGCAAACACTCACAAACACAACTCCCAGGTCGTGAACAGCATTTAAAAAAAAAAAAAAATCACTAAGCTATCTGAGCTTGAAGTTAAGTTCTATAGAGTCATAATTCTAATAAAACATGACTTGCAACAACCATATGTTCACATTCAGTACAACAATACCCACAGTGGTATAATACCCATATTCTATTCCTGTACTTCAGAGATGCATATTTTTTTCCTTGGCAAAGTTAAATCAAAGAAATTAAGCAACTTCTAAATATATACTTATAACACACATGCTTGTAAATTTAGAAAGCAAACCTGGAATTTGAGATTGGCTATCTAACTGATCGAGATAAACCCTGTTAGCCCAACATCCCAAGAATGTCTCTCTCAATGCCGCCTGCAACGGCCCCAATGGCGGCGGCCGAGCCTCAAAAGCTTTCAGCAGCTTCCTCACCTTCAAATTCAACGACGCGTAATGGCACCGGTCCCCATCAAATGTATGCTCTGAGCATATCGCTCCGCTCTCCAACAACATCTTCGCGGCGTCGAGGTGCCCCGCCAAACAAGCATAATACAGAGCCACTGAATCCCATTGGTCGCGCGCGTTGACGTTCACACCCGACTCGAGGAGGTACCCTAGGCGATCAACGTCTCCGGCACGCGACGCCTCAAATACGTCGCCGAATGGGACTTTCTTTAGCGGGATTGATGATCCGAAGTCTTCGGGTTCGAGGTCGATGCCGTCCAGGTCGGGGTCGATTGTCCAGGAATGTCTCTTAGACATGGTTCAGAGATTGTGAGCTCGTCGTGTTCTGGGGTTTCAGCTCTGTAGGGGTCGTGTTCTAGTGTTTCAGCTCTGTAGGGGACGTGTTCTGGAAACATGATGTGTTCAAGGTCCAGTGTTATGGTTATTTGATGTGGTTTGGACATGGAGGTTGTTGCAAGTGCACATTTCTTTCTAGGGTTAGGGTTTTAGATTGAGGAGGGAGGGATAACAAAGAGGTGCGTGCGGATGATTGAAATCCGACGTATAATAGTGGACTCGGTGAAAGGGCAGTTTTGTCCTGACGCGGATAAATTGTCCTAAAAAACGATGAAATAATAATAATAATAATTTCTCAAATGAGTATATTACCATAAATAGTGTCAAATGTGTAAGCGACCACCTTGCCTGACCAAAAATGATGCCCATCAACTTAAAACATTTTTGTCCAATCTCAAAATGTTTCGTATTAGACATGTTGGTGCTTGCGATAGAAATAGATAGTAAATTGTTGATTTGCTTTCATGAATGGAAAGGAAGAGAAATAAATGATTTTTTTTTCTTTAAAGATTATTGAAGAAAAAAGATAAAGATGTGGCCCGCAATTCCTAAGCCTGAGAAGCAAGAAATGCCGGAGGGAATTGCAATTCCTAAGCCTGAGAAGCAAGAAATGCCGGAGGGAACTGAAATTCCTAGGCCTGAATTGCCGGAGGGATTTGCAATTGACTTTGAAAGGGGTTGTAATATTATTGTTGGAGAAATTCTTCATAGGAGAGAGAGAAAGAGAGAGTCTTCACAGGAGAGAGAGAGTCTTCAGAGGAGAATGGACAGGGTGAAACAAAGTCTCAGGATAACAAGGGCGAATTTAAAGAAGAATTTAATGGCGTCTGAGGAGTTATTGAGGCGGTGTAGAAAAGCAAGACTACAGCGAATCATGGCGTCGGATGCTGGCTTTTCTACAGCGAATCATGGCGTCGGATGCCGCTGAGCACTAGTACTGAGTGGAGCGAGAAGGATGGGAATTAAGAATGATGCTGAGGTTGGTTAATTGGCTCATTCATTCCCCTTGCAAAAGATGTTTCTTTCAGTATTATATAACTAACTTGTATCTCCTGTAATGCGGTGTGTATTGTATATTAGGGTTTAGAATTTGGCTGACACTTGGATAAGAAAAGTGTTGTGATTAAACAAAAACATGCCATTTGTTAAAGTTTTTAAATTTAACGAGAAAGAAGCTTGTGCTAAATTCTGTTTATTGAAATTTAACTCCCTTGATTGTTAATTGTTTTCAATGTTTCCGACTACTCTGTCCTGGAATCCAAAATGGATCTACTCCTTGTAATTGTTTTATTGTGAGCATTCGATTAGATGGAAATTCCTCCTCCCTTCCTGTTGAATTGGAGTAGGAGAAAAACTTTATTGCGCATGTAACGGGCGCATCCGTACAGTCTGTCATGGTAATGACCAGATGTGCACAAAAAACTGTAATCGACGGGTTTTAAATTTTGGAATTGTCATATTAAAGAAGTGACAAAAATTTGTTTCCATAGAAGTGTCTTCTTACCTCGTTTCTACTACATTAGATTCACCTGCATCTTGAAAATTTAGTTATGTATGGGGAGAAGCTGAACATGTTTTTGGAGATTTTGAAAATCTATAAAATTATTGCATGCATAGGAAACAGGCATGTTTATGAAGCAAATCGCATGGTACAAGTACCTAAAAGTCCAACAAATGAGGCAAAACCATCCTCTATCGGATGATAACCGTTAATTTATATTCAACTTTCTTCAATAAGAAAGTGGAACAGATTAGGAAACAGACCATGTTTATGAACAACAGGAAGTCGGTAATACAGGCCGTTAATTTGTCCCATTTCGGTCTAAAATGATTTTTTTTTTATTTATGGATTTTTAATTAACTGCTGCGCATATTTTGTTTTGAGATTGTTTATGACAGGTTTCAAATTAATCATAAAGAAAATTTGATTGAGGTTATTTGTGTTGAATTGGGTGATTTTCTAGTGATATTCATATAATGGGTCACTGCTTATGGTTTCGGGTCATTACACTAAGTATCACTACTCATTTGAAAAAAAATTGTGATGTTTGGTTAAAGAACATTCTCAAAAAGCCGAGGCCAATAGTTAGGAAGCTCATCTGAGAGAGGTAAGAAAATGTTAGCTTTTGAAAGGCCTTTTGAGATGCCAATTTTTTTAAGGATAAATTTGTTATTTTATTAATTTGTCTGTGTACTTTTTATAGAATGACAATATTGTCTTATAATTCTTTCGTGGTCTACCTTCCATCATTGCCGCTGCCGCTGCCGCCGCCGCCATCACCACCACCTTGGATGTATCACAAAAGTAGCACTCTTCACTGGAAAGTTTCTTCATTGGACAAAATCTTGGAAACAAATAATAGTCCAATAAATACTTTTTATAGTTGAAAATCTTCAACATACGTTTGAAATTTATAATTTTGGGCACAATTTGATATAAGATAAATTAAAAAAAAAAGATTCTAATTTGATTAACTGAGAGAATTAAGAACCTCTTGTAAACTTACCAAAAGGGTTGTGCAAAGTTGGTTTGAAACTAGGAATAAATTGATAATAACTATGAAAACAGCACCCTGTGTGACATAGTCCCGCATCGAAAAAGTGTAAGAAGTTGATGAGAAATTTATAATTATAAAAACAATACATAGATGCCTAGAGAAGGTATCATTGCGATTGGGGCAATGACGTAGCTCACGAGGTTCTAACCGAGGCGCGTCAATTGCTGGTTGAAAATTATTTTCCTTTTTATTGCTCTCTTGGGCATGGGTTCTGCCCGGCCATCGAGAATTTTTGAAAGGGCTCCCTTCTAGGGTAAAGCCCTAACAATTCTGAGTTCCAGATTTTAATTTTACACTCACGAGCTTCTAATCTAACTTCTTGTGACAATGGAGAGGATTTCAAAACCACAAGAACAAACATTCATGGTATCAACTATATGTAGAATTGGTCCATAGGAACTTAATCTAACTTCTTGTGGCAACGGAGAGGATTCCGAAACCACAAGAACAAACATTCATGGTATCAACTATATGCAGAATTGGTCCATAAGAACTTAAAAATAGCATCATGTTCGACATAGTAGTGTTGCTGCCATTCCCGAGTGCTTCACTGACATGCTTAGAAACAAGAGTTTAAAGTTTACCTTTGTACGAAATCTCTCGAGTACTCTCTCTTTGATTCATAGTCTCGTCTTCACGTTTATCTCCTCTATATGCCATTTAGAGTCACAAATGTTGAGAATAACATCTGTGGATCATCTTTGTCTCACTCCAAAAATTCAAAAACCAATTTCAGAGATGGTATTGGGAATTAAAAAAGAAAAAAGAAAAAAAGAAGAAGCTTGAAACGCGCAATTTCTTGATCAACGAACAACTGAACTATCATATATATATATATAATTTATTTTGTGAGTGTTAATATAACAAGAATAATGATAAACTCCTGTATGCATGTATATAGCTCATTTAGAGTCACAAATATTGAGAATAAGATATGTTGATCATCTTTGTCTCTCACTCCAAAAACCCATTTCAGAGATGGTATTGGGAATCAAAGAAAAAACTTGAAACACGCAATTTCTTGATCAATGAATAACTAAACTCTCGTGCTTTTATTTATTTATTTTGAGTGTTGATATAACAAGAAGAATGATAAATAGTCCTATTTATGTGAGTAGGGATGATCACTTCTTACATAAATTTGGCCGAATGTGTTGGACACTCTATCATTAAGCATATAACAATACATCAAATAATTTCAGAGAAACAAAAAAAAAAAAAAAAAAAAAAAAAAAAAAAAAAAAAAAAAAAAAAAAACAACAACAACAACAGAGCAGAAATTGTTGAAGTTAAAAACTGAATGATTTGGGAATTACAATTGATTTGACTTAAATGAGTTAAAAACTAAGTTGAATAAACTCCACCGAATACAGACCTCTTACATAATCTGATTATTATTTTCTTTCTAATATTTGATTAGTTAGTAAATTTATTCACTAACAGGAGGATACATATACAATATGTAGGAAAAAAAAAAAAAAAAAATCCATAATAATATTTGGTTCTTTTATTTATGATTTACATGAATTAATGTCAATTCACTTTAAAAGTGTAGCATATTTATTTATTTTTATTAAATATAAGCTCGCGAGCATTGAAAACTCCTGTATACACACACACACACACACACACATATATGTATACATAGCATTAAAGTTCTTATAATCAATTATAGGTTCTGAAAACCCCACATTTATTGTTGGGGCAAATAAGAACCTCCGATCAATTGGCAGTTAATGGGAAGATAAAAATACTAAAATGTCCTTCCTACAATTAGAAATAAATAAAAATTCATTTAATGTAAAATTACTATTATATCTTTTATTTTTGAGATTTATATATAAAAGGGAATGACGTTTTGAGAATCAATAAAGGATAATTTTGGTATTTAAAGAGTGTTTTAGATACTTAGTCCTTAAATATAAAAGTGACATTAACTTGAATTCTTAGCTATTGGATTGAAACACAATCTCTTAATCCAACAAATGACAATATAAATTTATATTAAGTCTAACCCAACCAACATTGTTACGCAAAGTAGTATCGCAAAAATAGAAAGGAACTATTGTTTTTGCATTGGTCAAAACTAAAAACATGGAAAACAATAGGATGCATTGACAACCAAATGGTGAACTTGAGACGATTAACATGAGGAGCACATGAACATGGATAAGTCTGTCGATTGATATGGATGAAGCTGCCTTTTTTTTTTTCTCCGGTAAATGATGAAGGTGTTACTCTGTCCTGGAATTTGAAATGGACTTAAGTTTTCTGCTTTATGGGATAAAGCCTGTAATGTTAGAAATTGTGAATGAAAATTGTTTGATTAGTCATCAATTGATGCCTTTGACTGGACAGGTACGATTACTAGTTGATTATGGGATGAAAAGATGTAACTCAAAACCAACAGACATAACTATTCATGTGAACTATTGGAACGGATGTGTCTATTTGTGTATAGACACCATATGAACCATTGCAACCTATTGGAGTGGATATGTCTATTGGTGAACAGACATAATGTGAATGATTGTGTTCAATGATGAAGAGACACACCCAATCTGAAAAAGCACCTTACTTAAAAACTACTTTTTAGTTTTTTCCAAAGGGTTGCACCCACCCGGAAAGGCACATTGTTGCCTATAAATATCCCCCTTTGGATCATTTGCAAATCGTTCATTTCATTTTCTTCTATCTCCCTCTTTAGACTTGAACCCAACCCAAGTGGGTTCAAACCATTGGTCAAGTGATCCGAGCCACTTAGACCCTAATCTAATTTTATCGAACCATATTAAAATTGGTTTGAACCATTTGGTTCGGATTGCATTCAATTTAGTATTTATATAGTATAGATGCATTTTTAAGTCAGAGAAAGTATTACACGGAGTAGGTTCGCCATATTCACGAGTTTTTAGTGCTACTATTGGTGGATGTAGACCGTTGTATCCTAGGAGATAGACGCCACTGAGTCCGTTAGCACCATAGCGGGGTGAATATATCTTAAGGACATATTACTCAATACTAGCTTCGGTCCAGGTTCTTTATTTATTACTTATTAATTTATTACTTTATTTTGCATATTTAATTAAATATATAGTTGCGTATTTAATTAATCATTTCTTAGCATATTGTTAATTATCTCATAACATATTAATATAAAAATTGTTATATCTTAAATATCACATGAAGCATATATTTTACTAATACCATAATTTACTAGTCTGCATTAATTGAAGGATCTAATTGCAGAATTAAGAGCATAAATAAGTAACTCACAGTATCAAAGACGATAAACTTTATTTTGCAACTTTACATCAATTCAATAATAAAAATGCAGGGGACAAAAAAACCAGTGCCTATATTTACCTTTGTGCGAAATCTCACGACTACTATGTCTTCGATTCATATGTTCATGTTAATCTTCTCTATTATACCTCGCAAACATTGAGAATAAGATTTGTGGATCATTCGTGTCTCTCACTGCAAAAATTCAAAAACCCATTTCAGAGATGGTATTATTGGGAATCAAAGAAAAAAGCTTGAAACACTCAATTTCTTGATCAATGAAAAATGACTCATGTTTTTTTTTTTTTTTGGAGTATTAATATAAAAATTCATGAGTGGTTGATTGTAAATTACAATCACAGTATAGTTTTTTCTTAGAAAAATATCACATAGAGAATTTGAAGATTGTGTTTAATATTTTTTTGCAAAGTACAAAAAATCTCCCTCAACTTGTAATCTTTTTCGGTAAACTCTCTCCTCTAATTTTTTTTATCAAAGAATCCCTGGACTTGTAGCACTTTTCAATAAATCCATTATCAATTTTTTTTAATCAAAAAACCTCCCTCAACTATCTAAGGGGGTAAAAGTGTTGATATTTAGATCAAAATGTCTTTTTATTTAAATCGTAATTTTTTCGAACATAAAAAATTCGTATCTCACAAACGGTACATCCAAATATTACAAAGAATATATGCATGAAAAGCTTATAAAACAAGAATTACAAAAATATAAGATTTTTTTAACAAAACTTCATAACCAAAGAGAAATGGACAATCTAAAAATCTACTACAACAATATTATTTTATTTTATTTTTTACAAAATATTAGAGGTATTTGCAAGAAATTTTTTAGAATTATTCATTTTTATATGGAGCATAACATATTAAAAAAATAGCCCACTAGAGACCGAATATTCATTTTTATTTATTTTTTAAATGGTGAGTTTATAAAAAAATAAAAATACTTTGACACAAAATATGATAGCTCATGAAATCGATCTCTGTTGGGGGTAAATTTTTTATATATTCGGCTCCATATGTAAATGAATAATTTTGAATATGTCATCTACTTATTTTAATTGGTCTATTTATACAATAAATAAGGGAGTGGGCCTCCTTTACTTTTATTGTGCCTAAATAACCAATCAGAAACTTTAAGATAGGTAATTCACTCCAACAAATTCGTGCAAATGTCACTCAACAATGCTTGTGTCCAGTACAGGTTGGATGAAGTTCATCCAACCTGATGATGTGGCCCAATAGAATTGCAACATGTGTCCAAAATCAAAAGTTAGGTTTAAGTTGGATATTGTCCAATTATTCAGGTTTACCCCATTGTCATGAGATTTATTTTTCATTTTTATTTTTATTTTTGTAATCGCTCCCACAATCACCACCATCCCCAATCACCACTGGGGGGAACACCACCACAACTGGCGGCAGTGGTGTAGCCACATAGGGACAAGTGGGGGTAGCTGCCCCCACTGAATTTTTAATTTTTTTAATTTTTTTTTTATTTTATATGGAAAGATTTTTATATTTGTATAATTGTCCTTACTAAAAGTTGACATTGCACATATATATACTATATATATAACCCAATGACCATTCCCGGTATTATAAAAAAAAAAGAAGAAGGAATATAATCTTTCCAAAAAATATAATATTTTTTTTTGCCCACTTTCTCAAAATATTATATTATTTCCCATTTTCCTAAAAAATATAAGATATTTTTTCACACTTTTGACTTTAACACAAACAAATGCGTTGTTAATTTCCATCACATTTTCAATCTTCAACATTTCTCTTTCTGCGAGTCTTCAATATTTAAAAAAAGAAAAAAAAAATTATTTAGGAAAAAAAAAATATTTAAAAAATTCACAAAATCCAAACAAATACTACAGTGCGGAGACAGATAATCTGATATATATTTTTTTATTATCTAAATTTACTATTATTATGCCATGAACATTTTGAAAACTCGACTGCATGCTTTCAGAATATTTGTTTGATTTTTACATATATTATTTTGATTCAAATAATATATATATATTGCTGTTAAAAATTGCCCCTACTGAAGAAAATTTCTGGCTACGCCACTGACTGGCGGTGCCATCACCACCATCCCCCACCACCACTGGCGCCCCCTGACAGCTCGTCATTTGCCTCGACTCTCCGTTTGCTCTTTCAACTTTGCCATCGCTAACGACCTTGGCCTCCACGCCATATTCTTGATTTGAAAAACCAAACATTAGCCCTAAACCCCTAATTCACGCACACTCTACACATAGACGTGTATATATATATATAGAAAGGAATCAAGGTTTCGGCAGTCGATCTCAGGGTTCAAAGGCGGCGACGGGATTTGGGTCGTCGTCAGGAGTGGACTAGTCGTCAGCAATGGGAGGAGGAAGAAGGCGGGGATACAAAGGAAATAAAAATAAATAAATAAATAAATAAAAGGAATATATTATATATGGATTATACCACAAATAGATGGGCAATGTTCAATTTAATTTATTTTTATTTTTATTTTTATTTTGGACACTTGCAATTTTATTAAGCCACATCTTCAAGATTCATCCAACCTTAGTTGGACGCAAGCATTGTCCATATCACTATTATTTGAGATACAGACTCAACATAACCAATAAAAATTTGTCTCAAATTAAAAATAAAGTTAGCATCCTTATATATCAACTCTAACCTAATCAATTTTTACCCAAAAAAAAGGAAGAAGAAGAAAGAAATAAGCCCTCAAGTAGCAAATAGCATATTAGTTACTTGAATGTAATTTATCATCAACAACGGCAAAAAGAAGTAAATAAATAAAAAAAAATTCAGTGTGAAGAGAAAAAAAATATAAAAACAATAGACAAATCTCTCTCTTTCTCTCTCTCTCTCTATGCTATTATAAGTGTATACACCTTTTATTTATTTATTTTTTTATCTTTACATGTTTTACTTTTTCTTTTCTACCCATCCAAGAGCATTTTGGCTTCAGAATACTTCTTATAATGTTATTTATTTATTTAAATGAGTGTTTTATATATATATATATATTTTTTTTTCCAAAAGTCACATTTATTTCTTGAGTTACCTACTAATATTCTGAATACATGAAAGGACATCTAACTCGAAAAATTTTAAAAAAATAGTAAATGTGTTTCTCGCCATAAAGAAAAGCTAATATATTGAATACACTACTATATTGAGTCACCCACTAAACATAATAGTCATGTGGACATTTCTAAAAATCTTTCCAATCATTTCATATATTATTCTTTCGCAAATGATTTTGATTGATATGATTTCTTCTTATATTAAAATTGCTTCCATTTATTTGATAAATTTATGTGCATGTGCTTTATCCTAACAATGGAGTGATGAATAATTGAAGATGGTCGCACGTAAAATTCTTCCCATCAGGTCATTATTTCAAAAAATTATTATTCGGACATGATTTAGTAACTTAAATTGACCAATTTGTATTGGAAACAAATTTTTAATTTAATCACCTGCATTTTTTTTTTTTCACAAATTATACTAGTAGATGCAGAGTGTCAAATCTTCTGGATTATCCAACCATTTACACGTGTCATATCTTTAAGATAAGGTGTTATTATTAATTATTAAACTTGTCATAAATTTAAACACTTGAATGATAAGAAGTTCAAGTTTGGAAAATTTTGTAAAATAAAAGACTTAAACGGGCCTCGTCAAAAGGCAACTGGAGGCCCAGCATACGAATAAAGACAAAAGCCCATTATCGACGGAATCAAAATATAAATAAAATAATCAAATTCAATACCCAAAACGCGACTCTCTCTGTTACTCGTACGCTCTTATACAACTCCATGCTCTCTCACATTTGGCATTCTGAGACAGGGTGGTCAAATCCATTTCTCTCTAAAAGTTGAAGCTTCAACGTTTCTAGGGTTTGTGCACATACATATATCTATCTCTTTATTTTCTTTCTGTTTCTTCGCTATTTGCGTTTTACGCTACAAATTTGAAGACAACTGGTAATTCTTTCACTGTTTCTGTTCGATAATGCCACTCTTTCTGAGCTTATTTGAGTGAATTTTGCGTTTTGAAGCTTCAAATTTTCTAGGTTTTGTATGTTTATCTATTTCAGTAATCTAATTCTGTTTCTTCGGCTATTTGTGTTTTGAGTTGTACACTTTAAGAAAATTGGTACGTTTTTCGCTGTCAATGCTTGTAATGTCACTTTTCTGAGGTTATTTAAGTGACTTTTGGGGTTTGAAGGTTGAAAAAGTAGCAATAATGCGGTGATTATGTGTTCTTCTCTCTACATCTCTCTTTATGCTGCAATGGAAACTCATTTTTCTTTGAATGCGTTTGTCTTTTGTTTTATCAACTTTAAATGCGTTTGTTTACTTGACTTGTTTTAGTCCTCTCTCTCTCTATATATATACATCCAACAATTCCTTTAAGTCGTGATTTGTCTTTCTCTGGTCGTCTTCTTCTTCCTCTTCTCAAGCATAGACAGGCGGACACGAGATACATAGACCTGCATATATTTGTGTCAGTGTACGGGACTTTATGTATATGTATGTATGTATGATATGCATGCCCTAACGTTTTTTCAGAAGTTGGGACCGAAATATGGCAATTTCCCATTGCTGTATGTCAGGTGTATGTTGTAGAAGATGTTATCAAATCAATCTTTGCGTATGCCTTTTTTGTATATATATATATATATATATATATATTTACTAGCTTTTCAGTTAGGATTTTAAAGACTCAGGTGAGCTTTTTCCTAGAATATGTATCAATATTGGTGATCTTTGTGAGGATGGCTAGTATTGGCTACGTGAAGAGGCTCTTCACACAAGGCTTAAAAGAATTTAAAAGTAATTATAAAATGTAGAAATAACAAGAATGAAAAAATGAATGCAACATCTATGATATATCTTGCGTAAAAGTTTTATACATGCATTACAATACTAGTCTGCTATAATTTTTCATAACATAGATAGTTAATATTCAATACAATTAAAATTACACACATGATGCAATCACACTAAATGAAATAAAAATCAGTTATTGCAATCCCATCACCATTATCATCATTATGACACTCGTCTGATTCAACCTCTCCAAATTCTCTCTCATAATGTTTGCATCATTTCTAATTCTGAAATAAGCACTATAAGTAGAATATATAAAATTCCGGAGTAAGATGTGTAACGACAGATGTAGAGCACACAAGTTCCATCTCTGTTAAATCTTGATGGCTTAATTGAAAGAAATAAGAATTTAAGAAGTAAAAAGAAGATGAAGAATATAATAAGAGAGAGTTCTCTGGGGTAGTGGTCTTGAGGCTTGAGGACCAACTATTGAGTTGTAGGTGGGGACTGAAATGTGTGAGAGAGACCCTTTCTAGGTTTGGAGAAAGAGAAAAAAGTTGATCCACATTATGACTCATTGAATCCATGTCATTTAGTGAGAAGGACCATGATTCATTCATATTGTTGTTTGATCCAGCCAATACAGACCGATGTAGGTCTGGTATGTAGCCAACGTGCCGTAAATACTATAGTGACTTTACATCGAACTACCCTTCTTGATGCTGTGTCAACTATGCTGATCCCACTTGATGTTTGTGGGTTTGAATAATTGATAGATTTTCTTTCTTAATGTTGAAGTGACTCTGTTACATAAAGAGTCACTATCCAGTGTGGTTCTTTAACAAAGGGTGTTGTGGGTATGGTGGACTTGATGTAGACCTCATTTTTGTGTTTTTTGTGCATAGTGGTTGCTTTTTATAATCAAGTAGTGAATGTAAGTTCAGTGTTTGCGGATATTTTTAATTATTGAAATGATTCTATTTCACCCATTCTAGATTCATGAACTTGTAATTGCTTCTTCTTCTTTTTCCCTTTATCTTGAGGGTCTTTGTCTGGCTCAGCGCTTGAGCATCAGTGCCAATCTCGCTAGTTTGAGCATTAAAGTAGCCACTTTGAAAAATACCAAAGATTAGGTTTGTCTCGGGTCCTCTCTCTCAAGGACCCTGCCATGACGGGATCAGAACTGGGTAATGCCCTTTGCCTTTGTTCCTTTATTTAAAACCTTTGGTTTTAACAATTTAAATTAATTTCCTCCTCTTCATTTGTTCACATAATAAAGCACAACTATAGAGTATTCACATCATCAAGCTTCTCCTCAACTGGAAGGGACACAGATGTGCCTTTGATGATAGGGTATACACCAGTAATGTGATATTTGACTTACAGTAAGTGCGGCTGCATTAGAGTTTCAGAAACTATGCTGAAATAGAATTGCTGAGGAAGTGAATTTATATGTTCTTCCATTCCTGTTGTTTCATTAGATGAGATATTGTTGAAGGGTTGATACTGGATAGAGCTGAAAAATCAAACAGGGGACTTAGGATAAGAGATTTGCAGTCATGGGTCTCTATAGAAGCTCCAGAGGGTAGCTTCTTTATGTTCTGAAATGATGATTAATGTGGAGTTTCACATGTAGAAGCCAATTTAGAGTCCACATGTCTTGCTTGACGCAGTTTTATAAATATTCTAATGAAGGGGTGTTTACTACATTATTTGTAGTGCAGTAGAAGGTGATTTTTTGTAGGTGATTTGCTAGTATCTTGGGTAGTTTGCTTAAGAGGAAGTACCAAAGGTAGGGATGGTCATGGATTTATGGTTGATCGTCACTTCCTCTTTATGGAATTTGTAAGACAATTTGGTAAAGTTTGTAACCTTGGGGGATACTGTTATATTTTGATGAAAACATTCCAGAAAACTGGGGAGGGTTCCAATGAAAGTAAGATTCTGAAAGGGCAATGGACAGGGTAGGCTTTGGACATTTTGGTGTCTCAAGGTGCCTTCGCATAATTGTTGATTGTTCTCACAATCTGGAAGTCGGATTTGGTCTAGAGGTATATCCTAGTTTCTTAGGAAAATCCGTAGGGTGGTAAGATGGACTCTCTAAGATGTTTATGGCTCTGCTTTATCCAACTGGAGTTTGTTTGATAGGTTCGAGAGCTGACTAATTTGCCTCTAGAATCAAGTCTTCTATTGATGGTTTAGTGGGTGAGGTGACGACACATTCCCAGTCCATCTTACTCCATATAGTGTTGTTCTCTTCGTGTTGACAACAATTTGGATAAATCCCTGACTGTTGATGTGTATAAAATGGAAAATTCCAAATCAGTGCATTACTGGCAAGCTCAACAATGAAAGGGTGCTAAACGTATTGCTTCTTCATCCCATTTGCATCAACCAGTGTTGCTTTGTTAAATTTTTTGTTTTTGTTTTTGTTTTGACTTTAGTAATGCCTAAGGTGCCTGGAAGGAAGCCAAACAAGGTTTAAATGTGGCGGATGTGCCCTCTTTTTATGATATAGTCTTTTGGAAGGTAAGGAATACTCTTTTCTTCAAAAGAATTTTGGGTTTGGGGTCTCAACTTCTGCTGGTTTTGGACTTTAGGATAGTGATCCTCATGTCTGTGTTTCTTTGACATCCAAAGAATTAAAAATGGGCTTCATTTTTATTTCATTTTTTCACTCTAAGCAAATATGACAAGCAATGGTATCCGATATGACTTTAAATTGCCCATCCAAAATACAGTTGAGTGATTTGTGTATCAGCAAACAAATCCCCTATGAGGAAAAAATTGTGTTCAAACTTACCCAAAATTCACTCTTCTGTGAATGCTGATATAAAGTTTGCGAATTATGGCCTAAAATGTCCTTGACTCTTGTATAGTTTCATTAAATAAATTAAAATGGCCCAGCACTTAAGATTGTTGTATGCATTATAGATTTTTTGTTTTCTTTGTGACCATTGGTTATTTAAGGCTTATTGAATCAAGAACAAAGTGCTATTGTCTTTTGTAAACTTTTATGTTGTATATTCTAAAATCCACTCATGGTTGTAAGGAAGTTTTGTCTACAATTCTGATAGATGTTATATAGAGACATAAGAATATGCAATTTAGTTTTTTCTCCCTTGCATACATTCTATACATTGAATCCTGAAGTTCTAAAGAAAAGGAAGCGAGAATGTATTCATGTGATGGAAAATTGTTCATTGATTCACAAAGTGATTTCTAATGCACATGTAAAACTAAGTAATGTAATTTCTATTCATCTAACTATATGATTTCTTCTATTTATGCACACTAAAGTGCTTGTTTGTCAAATGCCTAAGGTTTGTATTATCTATTCGATTTTGATGAAAGTTTATTAAATCTGTGCCATTCCTGTAAATACCATTCATTTTTTCAATACTTCTAATGCAGTCTGGGTGTATTAACTCAATGGCATCTTCTGATGAAGATGGTGAGATTGTACCAGATCACGTCACAAATTACCTTTTTGTTAATTGTAAGAAAGAACCCATTTCATTCTCCAGTTTGCCACTTCAGTGGTGTGAGGATGAGATCCCGAACGGCTCTAGTATGCAGATATTCTTGTACGGAAGTGCAGATGATGGGCTTCAGAAAATTTATAAGAAGGTCATAGCATGGAAATTTGAACTTTCTTATGTGCTGCCTGAGATTTATGTGCTTACCAAGGACAGGACCTGGATAAAGCTCCAAAGGCCAAGGAAGAGTTTTGAGGATACAATTAAGACAATTTTGATCACAGTTCACTTCCTTCACTTCATGAAAAAGAATCCAGGAGCATGTGGATATGCCATATGGAACCACTTGTCAAGAGCTTTCAGGTCAGCTTATTAGTTGTATCGTCATATGTTCTCTCTTGAGTCATGTTGATTGTTTTTGGTGTAAATTAAATCACCTGCTTGTTGTGCAGCTCATATGAGGTCAAGCCTTCTGAGAATGATCTGTTGGATCACATGCCATTAATCAATGAAGCTGCAATGAGGGATAAAGATGTAGCAAAATCTGAGGTTCGCTTTACATCTATTCTTTATCTTTTTGATTAAGCAGAAGTAGCGGTTCTTTGATTCACTTTGTATGAAGTAGATTGTCAAGTAGAACTAAACCATTTATACATGTGTTTGAATCACTTGGTGTGCAGCAGCACATGAAGAGTTACTGTGCAAGTTGTGGATTAAAAACAATACATTTGTTTCAATGTAATAAAAACTCGAGGCAAATTGTCTGCAATGATGTTATGCGACAAATATAGAAAAGTCTGTCGACTTTGACTTATTATGCAAAGGAGTTTTCAACGTGTGCGATTGTTGTTATTTTTGTCAGCATTTATCATCACCATCATCATCCTTGCCTTAATCCCATATGAATAGGGTCGGCCACATGAATTCTCTCTCTCCACTCTTTCTTTTACACGCCATTCTTCTACCAATTTAACTTTTTAAAATCATTTTTAATAACCTCATCCCATATTATTTTTGGTCGCCCTCTCCGTCTCTTACCTTCTATTACATCTAATCTTCCCTGCTTAACCGACACATCTCTAGGTCTCTGTTAATGTGCCCAAACCATCTAAGTCTACTCTCTCTAATTTTCTCACTAATGGGTGCTACACCTAATTTTTCTCTCATACTCTCATTAGCGACCTTATCTCTCCTAGTCATTCCACTCATCCATTTTAATATTCTCATTCCTGCTACATGAAGGTGTTGTTCTTGTCTCTTTTTTAGCGGCCAACACTCTACCCCATACAACATACTTGGTCTAATAATGGTCCTAAAAAATTTTCCTATTAGCCTACGTGTTATTCTTTTATCACATAATATCCCATTGGCTTGCCTCCATTTTGTCCAATCCACTTCAATTGTACTAGTTATATCGCTATCTATATTTCCATCATTTTGTTTTGTCGATCCTAGGTACCAAAAGTGGCTGTTTTAAGCAACTTTTGGTTTTGAATTGTTATCATTATATTATCAATGTCCGACTCTTTGTTAAATTTGCACTCCATATACTCGGTTTTAGTTCGACAATCCTTTCAATTCTAAATCATTTCTCCACATTTCTAGTTTTATTGTTAAGTTTTCTTTTGAGGTATCCGAGAGCACGATATCATTGACAAACATCATACACCATGGAATTTCATTTTCAAAGTCTCTTGTTATTTCATCTAAGATGATCGCAAATAGATATGGGCTTAGCACCAATCCTAGGTGCAATCCTACATTTATGGAAATCTCACTAGTATCACCACATGTGGTATGGACTTTAGTCTTTGTATTCATATATACACATCTTGGATACTATTTATGATTCATAAGGAGATTTGTTGTTTTTGTAAGGCCCACCAAATTATATCTCTTGGGACACTATCATACACTTTCTCCAAGTCTATAAAAATCATTATAAGTTTTGACTTATCAAAAATATATATATATATATATATATATATGTAAGATTATAAGTTTTGTTGCTTACATCTACATGTTTCAACTAATTGCCTAAGTATATAGCTTCCATTGTCGATATTTTCTGGCTTGAATCTGTATTGGTTATCGGATACCATGTACTCATTTCTTAGTCTTTGTTCTATGACCCTTTCCCATGTTTTCATTGTATGTCCCATTAATTTAATTCCTCCATAGTTGCCACAATTTTGTATATCCCCTTTATTCTTTAAAGAGGTACTATTGTACTTTGTCTCCATTCATTCAGCATCATGCCTTGTTCTAGGATGTTGTCAAACGACTTTGTTAGCCACTCAATTCCCACATTACCTAATGTTTGCCAAGCCTCAATGGAAGTATTATCTAGACCTACCACTTATTACTCCCCATCTTCTTTAGCGTGTCCTCTACCTCCTTGTTGGTGATTTTATTTATCATTCCTATGTTAAAAATTAAAATCATTTTCTTCTACATCTTCTCTAGGGTATTCCTCATTTAATAGGTTTTGATAATAATTCTTCCTTCTATTTAATATGTTGCTTTCTTTAACTAATATTGTGTACTCTATGTCCTTAATACATCTAATAGGTTATGAAGCTTTAAAATGTTAAAAGTTAAATTCTGTGACCTCTTTTTCCTAGAAAGCATCCGAAAGAGAAAAATTGCTGTACCTGGAACACAAATGACCCAAATATGGGTTCCATCAGTTCTCAATTAGTGCAAGGTCAAGATGAAACAATACCTCAACACCTGTTTTCTGGGTCAAAGTTTGTTCAGATTGTCAAATGTCAAATTTAATGAACTTGGAATGTATTCATTGGCTTTCTTTGTAATCCTTGACATAAAGTTGCTCTATATTTTTTTAGAGTATTTAACTCCCTTTTGCAGGCATGTAGTTACAAGAAAAAATTAACAAATTCCGCATCTATTATATTTATAAAGATGTATACACAACACACATAACATAAAGTTTTTCTGTATTTTTTAGAGTATTTAAAAATGAACAAATTCCACATCTATTATGTTTTTAAGGATGAATACGCACACATATATACATGCATGCATGAACAAATTCCACATCTTTGCTTTTTTGACAATATAATCTTGACAGTACTTGGCTAATTTTCTTTTGGAGATGCCTGGAAAAAGGAAAGCTTCACATGAGGTCAGTGCCAATAGTTAACACTTCGCTTGTAAATTGCCTCTATTTCCTCCCTCCATCAGATGTTAAAGTTACAGTCCTTTGTTTTAAGAAGTGCATTTGTTCTATGCAGCAGGAGAATGTAACAACAAAGAAGTCCAAGTTTATAGTTGATGCATATAATGAAGATAATGATGATGACGATGACAATGATGTTGATGATGACAATAATGATGAATGTGATGGAAATGAGGATGGACTTTTTGATACTGTTTGTGCATTTTGTGACAATGGTGGTGAACTTCTGTGGTATGCATGTACCTTCTATTTCCTTAAAGCTATATTTGACGAGGAATTTGATTATGGATGATAAAACGTGGCTCTTTTACTCAGAGCATGGATGAGAAACTATTGAGATTTTATCTTCCAAGTGAATATAATAAATGCCTAGATTTGTAAAATTTATTGCTTGATTTTTAAATTTTTTTATCTAGGCAATAAATATTACAAATCTGAGGAGTTCAAAATTTGCAGATTTGAAGCTCTTCATTTCAAACTCCTTAGGTTTGGTGGTTCAAAATTCTTCATTCTAATTCACTGTCAAAGTTTTAATGTGTTCTTTATTTATCTTTACCATTTCATTTGTCCTTTTTTTTTTTCCCTCTCTGATTTTATTCATCCAAAATTATCAAAGCGACCCATTCATCCGATGCATAATGTTCCAAACTTCCAAGTATCTTATTCATGTAATATTTACTGGAAATATATATTTAATATCACAAAAGAGTAGGGAAGTTGTTTCAAATTTGTCAAAGGAGAACTTCAGTCAAGCTTTTACGATGGACATAATTCACTTGGATTTCCAAAAGTGGATTGTTTAATACAAAAGTATTCATGATTTTTGGAAGTTAGGCATGTATGCTCCCTTTGGTAGGAGGGACTAGGGGGAGGAAGAAAGGGGGAAAGGAAAATGGAGGGATGGAAAGAGTTTTCAAAGGAAAGGACGGGGGAAATGAAAAGAGGAAGGACAAAGTTTCTCACCAGGACCACCATTTTATTTCCACCCAAAAATGGAGATAGGAGGGAAATATAGTATCCCTTTCTTTTACACTTTTGCCATTCGACCAATGTCCAAAGGTTCGTCAAAAGGCACTTTCTTCTATTATTCTTCCGTGCTTTGGTTATTGCCTCCATTACTCTCTTGTTTTTGTAGCTTCATCTTCTGGGGAGTTTTCCTCCTCTTGCTATGCATCTCTTTCAACAAATATCTTATTAAATGAAAATCTAATTTCTTATTTATATATAGGTTTTTTTTTTTTTTTTTTTTTTTTTTTTTTTTTTTTTTTTTCATCTTAAAAAGGTTGATGATTAGCTCTGTTGCTTGCTTGGAAACTTTTTCTTTCTTTGTTTAGCAGCTTTTATGCACTTCTTGTTTGTTGTTCTTGTTTATTTATTTTATTCTTTTCCATGTAATGCAGTTGTGAAGGATGCTGCATGAGATCCTTTCATCCAACTAAAGACTCTGGAGTTGAGACAGTTTGTGACTCTCTTGGCTATTCTGATGCTGAAGTTGAAGTATAAACCTACTTTTGTCATATCATTTTCTTTTGAAGCTTTGTCTGATATTCAGTGATTTGCACCTTTAACCATTGCTTGGTTGTATGCAGGCAATTCAGAATTTCCTGTGCAAAAATTGTCAACATCAGCGGCATCAGTGCTTTATTTGTGGCATGTTGGGCTCTTCCAATAAAACTTCTGGTGCAGAGGTTTAAATCTTCTGACAATTATGATAAAAATAATGATTCAACTGCATAGATTTTTCTTGCTGATAATTTCATTTGACTATTGTTGGTGGGTCATATAGAACTAAATATCACAGGTACGGGCACACATGAACACGATACAGTACAGCAAATTCTAAAGAAACAGGATACAGACATGGTGTTAACACGGCCATTGTTTATATAAATTTTGTTTACATATATTTTATATGTAAGACAGCTATAGAACTTTCTAATTTCTATACTAAGAATTGTGTAATGTGGAAGATAAAGCTATGTAAAAACATAAAGATTTATATTATATACATATATATTATAACCACTACTCTTCCATTATATTTTTGTCATTACAATTACATTCTCGCCCTACATTAAAAAGTGTCTGTTGCATGTTTGACTTGTAATATTATTCTCAAGGAAAAGGTTGACACCTTGGAGGTGTTCATCTTGTGTCTAAGATCGTCGGACATGATTCCTTCATATATATATGTGTGTGTGTGCGTGCGTGGTGTATATATATTGTGCTGGTATATGTTAGGGAATACTTAGGATGTGCTGACTAGTTGCCTGAAATAGAGTAATGCTATTAAGAGAGCCCCCTCATGATATTTAACCACTAGATTGAAAGATGTATTAAATGATTCATTTTACTTTTCACAGATATCAAAGTGTCTCAATCCAGTTGTTACATGTGGAGACTTATGGCTCTTGTTATGAGGGGAATCTCTTGATAGCATTACTCTTTGAAATAAAAGAATTTAGTTTTTAATTATGGACACTTCTATGAGTTGACAAACTTGTGTCTAGGAGTGTCCTTGAAGTATTGGTGTTTGACATGGAGAATGCCCTAGAATATTGTAATTGGTCAAGAATATAAGAATGCCCCAGAATACTAGAAGTAGTTGGTCAAGCAAAGCAGAAATTGCTGTAGATATTAAAATATTTTCTCAAGCTGATCAATCCATGCGGCAAGCTCAGAAATCAAAGGCATAGAAGTTGAAGTCACAAAATTCAAACTAGCAGAAGCAGTAGTAGCAGCCAACAAGCTTTGCACTGGTATCAATGATAAGATTGACGGAAGTTGCCATGAAACAGCAAACCAAATTAGGAAGAATAGAATAGAAAAAAAAATTGTCACAACCAAAATAACTAAAGTAGGTTGACGAGGACACTGATACCATGTTACATGCTGAGAAAAAGGAAAGGAAGTGTTTATAGTAATAATGAGGGCAGTGCCTAAGTAAATATTTGATAATTATGGTGTATATAGGTGTCTTCTTTATCTAATAGTTGATGCAGAAGTTATGTTATTATGATAGAATCTGTTAGAACACCCTACTTGCATCCTCTTTTATTCATCTTCTATTATTTAATTACATTTGATCCTTGCAATAGATGTTTGCATAAATTTGGGTCGTCTTACCTTGCTCCAATTGCTACATGTTCTTTTCAATATAGATATCAGGTAATTTTCACCACTGTAGTCATATGCATGAGGATTAGCAACTTCAGACTTGGTTTGCCTAATGTCTTCCAGGTCTTCCCTTGTGTTTCTGCAACATGCGGCCATTTCTATCATCCAAAATGTGTAGCAGAACTGCTCCACCCTCGGGATGATACTCAAGCTGAAGAACTAAAGAAGAATATAGCTTCAGGAGAATCATTCACGTGTCCTGCCCATAAATGTTATGTTTGTAAGCAAGGTGAAGAAAAAAAGGTTTTTGATTTGCAATTTGCATTGTGCAGACGCTGTCCTAAGGCATACCACCGGAAATGCTTGCCCAGGTAGTCTTTAATGGTCTTCACATATTTAATCAGTTTTGTTTCGATTTTGAAGAAAGAATCTAGTGTCAAATACTGAAAGAAATAAAACCTTTGACGTCTTTGTTCTTATGCTTCAGTTACTTGTTTCAGGGAGATTACCTTTGAATGTACAAATGGTACAGATATCCAGCAAAGGGCTTGGGATGGTCTTTTGCCAAATCGTACATTGATATATTGCATGTAAGTATTCATTTGAGGTACCTTTATTATATTCTTTTCTTTCTTCTTTATTTCCCCCCCACACAACACCCCCCCGCGGGGCGATTAATGATGCACACACTTTCATGTTCAATTGGATTAGTATCCTGCATCTGCCCCTTTAGTTTTTTAAATAAATCATGGATCATTTACTGAACAGGGTTTGAATTACCGATTGTTTCTGGATCAGGGACCATAAGATCATTCTGGAAATTGGGACACCAGAAAGAAATCATGTTTTATTTCCGGACATTGATGTAAAAAAGAAGCAGCACTCTTTAGTACTGTCATCCAGCAAAGAGAAGGTGGTGACAGAGGAAATAAGTATGGTTTCTGGAAATGTTAGAGAAAGAAATTCACTAAAGATGCAAAAGCAGGTTGAGAAGGTGTATAGTGCTGTTAAAGGTGGTGATTGTACCAACAAAACTGAGAGAGGATTTTCTGGACAAGGTTTTGAACCAAAAACAAAAGCATTAACTTTGAAGTCTTTAAAGGACAATAATATGTCCTCAGGGAAGACTTACATGCCCTCTGCAGCAGACAAAAGCAAGTCATCTTTGAATCAGTCAAACTCTCTGCTGACTAAGAGGTCATATCTATCTAAGGAGCAAAATAATTATTGTGGTAAGACTGAGAACAAGATAGCTTCTAAGCCTGTGAAAAAGATGGCGAGCAATACACAGCCTTTGAGATATGATACTGAAGTGGAAAAGCGGTGATGTACTTGCATTTGTTTTGTTTTCACATTTGTGGCTTTGTGGTTTTTTTTTTTTTTTGGGGTAGAAAAATCTTAGATTTCAACATTATTTTATTTGAGCTGTTCATCAAGTTTGATCTCATCCTTTATTATTCAGAGTTCTGGGGCTAATGAAAAATTCATCTGCTTCATTTAATATGGAAGAATTCGTAATGAAGCAGAGAAGGCTATCTGGTCGTGCATATTCTTCAAGGTTTGCAGTAGACAAGAACATTACAATGGGAAAGGTGGAGGGTGCTGTACAGGTATGTCTTACTGATTGCATCACATCTAGCTGCCAAAGATAATTCATTTAAAATCTCAAATCCATACTTGTGCCTTCATTTGTTTTTTTTTTTTTATTCTTATTCTGGTTTCTAATTGGTTAGTAAATATAAATTTGCAGGCTGTTCGAACAGCCTTAAAGAAATTACAAGAAGGGTGTGCCATTGAAGATGCAAAAGCTGTTTGTGAACCAGAAATTCTCGAGCAGCTTATCAGATGGAAGGTTCATTCCAGTTTGACCTGAACTCATTATAACACATGCCAAATATTTGGTTTTCAATACTAATATGCACACTGTACTTTTTATATTTCTGCTCTTTTTCATTTCATATTTTTATTGCTTGCGCAGTTGTCGTGCTTAGTCATTCCTTGCAACATTGAACATTTCATAACTTGATATGTTTGAAACAAAAAGTTTTTCCTTTTTTTGTCTGTCATTCTTATACCATACGGGGACATTTTTTTGTCAGAAATTTATTGTATGACTTCAGCAGAACATTTGGTTCCAAGTATGTTGGGCAATGAATCTACAGAGCAATGAACCTAATCCTTGACATTTTAGTGTTGTGCATGTGAATTCATATTGGAGACAATCACGACATTACCAGCACAGTTTTGTTGCTGTTGAGTTGAATTTCCCTTTCCATGTCCACAAGTGCAGGGTTTCATCAGCGCGAGTGAGTTCAACTCATCCCATAATGCTTTCATCTTTGTGAAATAAGCAGAAACAGAGATATCTTGTTTTAGAGATGCAATTGATTGCTTGAGTTGATAGATTTTCGGCGCATTTGTTTGAGTGAAGCGATCGCTAAGATCAATCCATATTTCCCTGGCAGTCTCGGCGTAGGGTATGCTTGCCTGAATTTCACTGTCTGTCGAATTGAGGATCCATGAACTCACCAAATCGTTGCATCTCTGCCATTGTTGCAACTCTCTGGCATCATCAGTTGGTGGTTTGAGGGTACCATCAATGAACCCAAACTTATTCTTTGCGCGAGCGCCATCGTCATGGCGCGAAGCCATATGCCAAAGTTGTCTCCCGTGAGCAGTGGAGAGACAAGGACTGCGGTAGGATTATCAGAGTGATGAATAAAGAAGGGATCGCGAGGATCGTTGTTCAATCCTTGGTCATTGGCATTAGGAGCTTCGGTATCTGCCATGAGAGATGGATCTTGGTCATTGGTCAATGAATTTTGACAAATATTGACAGCTAACAAATCCCAAAATTATAGCTAATCAAACTAATGTACAAGTTACAAGTAAGGAAGTATATTTCCAGATTTTATTTTCAAATCTGTATTGCTGTAATCAAGCTTTCCAGATTTGATTTTGCTGGTAATGTCGTGATTGTCTCCAATAATTCACTAATTGACTATGATTCAGTTTCTTGCTTAGTACTGTGCTGAGTATGCTGCTCCCAACATCTGCTGTATTATCTTTTGCATTGTTTTAAGCAAAGTATATATCTCTCTATTCTCCCTATATATTTGTATTTTTGTTAAGTCAGTCTTTGTAACCTGAACTATCTTAGAATATATCATTGAAAAATTATTTCAAATTTCTACTTATTAGTAATAAATAGGGCAAAGTGAGAAAAACACCCCTAATGTTTACATTTTGGGCAAATAACACCCATATCCTTTATTTTGGGTATATAAGTCCGTTAAGTTTGAAAAATGTGACAAATAAGGGCTTAGTGTCTATATTTTAGTCAGAAAATGACCTTTAAGAAGTCATGTGTGTGGCACATGACTATTTTAAGTTATTAAATTCCTAAAACACCCTTTTGCCCTCCCCAAAATGCCCCTTATACCATTTTATATATAAATCACATTTCCCTCTCTTTTTGCAAACCCATCTCCCTCTCTCTTTCTCTCTCTACTCCCAAATTCTCTCTTTCTCCATGGTCTCTGGCTACTCCAAAACCTTATTGATTTCAAGGGCAAAGTGAGAAAAAAAGCACCTAATGTTTATATTTTGGGCAAAGAATGCCCTATCCTTTATATTTCAGGGTTAGGAATTTTATATTTACGTAGTTTTCTCCTTTTTTTTCCCAGTTAGATAAGGGCAATTTAGTCTTTTAATCGCTCCACTGACAACAGGCCCTTGTTCGCTCCAAAAATAAAGGTTAGGGACTTTTAAGAACCTATAGGGGGTTATATACCCTATATGCATACTATATGGGGTGTTTATTGCTCGCTACCCGTAATAAATATACTGTTGTATCATGTTTGCTACTTTTGTTTCAATGAGATTGTATGTTAACAGAATTATTTGACAGTTGTGAGATGCAAGATTGAAGTCCCAGTATGTTTGTAACTGTCAGGCATATTTGTTTATGTAATCCTGTTTGTCTAGCCAAAATAAAAGTCCTGATGAAATTGCTTACCTGTTGTACACTTATTACTGGAGATACCTAATGGCTATTTGTTCAAAAAGTAATGTGAAGGGTACTTCCATAATGCACCAACTATTTTGCTTTCCATTGTAGAGGAAGCTCAGCGTATATCTTGCTCCTTTTCTCCACCGCACACGCTATACATCATTTGGTCGTCATTTTACGAAAGTGGACAAGCTGAAGGAGGTAAGACAGTAATCTCATTATTTTTCTCATCAGCATTTAGTTGTTTATTGAAATATTGGTAGGGTGATCTCTTAGTTGAATCTTACCTATCACAGCAGCAAGACCCTTTTCTTTGGTTTCAATGCCCTTAAAACTTTCTATCCTCTAACAGACAACATATAGGAAAATGAGAGAATTTTCATGAAAATAGTCTTTTCTTTAGAAGTGCCAGAGTATATCATATCTGAATGAGAACATCTAAAGTTGAAGGAAGTACCCAGGTACATTTCAGACAGGTATACCAGAGAAATTTTTTTTTTATAATACTGCAATTTATGATTATATGGTAATCATTTTATAAAATCTCATTGACATATGATAATCTGTTCTTTCATTGTTTTTTGATCATGGCTCCTATGAATCCATATCATGTTTGTGATTAGATGGATCCCAGGAGTTTGCAATGTACCAGAGGGTTCATAAACAAGTTTGAGTAACTTATTTACCTTGAGAAAACGGTGCTAAGATGCAAACTTCTTTGTTTCCTTGCCCCAAAATAAAGGAAAGGATCCTTATCCAAAGAATAACAGAAAGTTAAGGTTAGTCAAGGATTTGGTTAAGGTTAGTCAAGGATTTTGACTTTCTTCCTTCTAGATCGAAGTTGGTATATAGAGAAAGTAGATCACATTGTAGTCATATGATTGATTACATGCACCAAGTCAATGATCCAGGTGGAAGAAGCTGGAGTGAAGAAAATAAAGTAATATTTTAGCAGCTGTACCTGATTGGTACATTGTCGGGAGGACTACAAGGTCTAGTTTAATTGTAAAACATCAAATGTGTTCAATTTTTCCTTCTACCACTAAGAGTATCTCCCAAAGACACAAGGAAGTGGAAACACGCAAGGGGAATGTGCTACTGCTAAGTTAGAATCACATTTGCACCAATTATGAAAGCACAATATATAGAAGTTTCAATATATTCCCTTTGCCGCATTGGTTCAAGAATAAGGAGCATTACCCAGTGTCTGTCCTGCTTATTCAGGATACTGAGGGGGGAAGACTAGAGATATGAATAGAGCCCAATGGTTGCTAAATATGGTTGTGGTGGGAAACGTAGAGAGAAGATAAAAGTCCCATCTAGCTTCACCAGAAAAAAAATCACACGTGTTCACTATTTCCTTCTGTAGCTAAGATAATCTCCTAACGTGAAGAAGTAGAAGCAATCTCGTAAGTTAAATGTGTAGTTGCAAATGGAATGTGCATGTAGTCCCACTGCAATTACTGTGGCTACTGTCTCTGTTGGCGACCAATAATTTTAAAATCACTAGGAAAGCTTCTTTCGATGACCAGATTGATCAGATACCGAGTTGGTTTATTGGTTATGTGAAGTTGTGGCCCTAATTTTGTTTGCTATCCGAAGGAAAAAATCTGACCTGTTTTCTCTTGCGGCTTGTGGACCCGGGTTGTAGTCTCTTTTGTATCCCAGCATGTTTAGGGTTTGTGGTGTGGTACGAGATAACACTGGAAAACCGAAGTTAGAGAGGGAGGAGGGGGGGGGGGGGGTGGTGGTCGGGGGCTGAAACTTGTAATCTCTTGTTTTTCACATAGTGAGATCTTTTGTCAGATCTTCACCATGGGCGAAAGCTTTATGCCTAACCACGTAAATCTTCGTATATTGTGCGGTGTATGTTTTTTCTGTCGTGTTTCTTGATTGAAATCTGTTGGTTCACATTGTTTGTCATAACAGGTTAGTTTGTAGAACTTGTATTTGAAGGAGAACTTACGTTGGCTGTCAAGCAACAAAGATTCAAATTGTAGGACTTCAGTAGAACATGCATATCTATTGTATGCAGTTATTCTCTTGAGAAACTATGTACTTTCATCTCTTCAAATATACAAACGTTGAGAAAAAGACATTGGTAATTTAGATAAAATAGAATATAGAAGATTTAAGACTGCCTCAAAGTATACTTTTCCTCTTTGATGAACTTATTGCGACTGACTTAAATTTATTGCTACTGGTTAGGTCTTGATTACCCAACAATAAAGGGTATTGACTTAAGGCTCCGCCTGTTTCATCGTTTATGAGATGCATGCCTTTATTAGATCTTCTATGTAGAGAACTTTTTTTCTGTTTGGATTAGATAGATTTAGAGTTAAATGAGAATGCTTCAGAAACCTTTCACCTGCTGTCTGCAATGTAACTTGAACTTTTAAAGTACTACAATTACTTATTCTGTCAACAAGCTTATGGCATTCAATGTAGTTTTGTGGTTTTGACTTTTGCCTTATCTGGATTGCTTGCAGTTAAGGCCCTCTCCAGAGGGATCTCAATAAAGATTGTCAATCCATTTTACAGTTGTATAGTTTAGTTCTCTGTGTTTGCTACTGTGTTGTTGCTGCAAATATTTGATAGGCAAGACCGAAGTTCATACAGTGAGTTTTTTGTGCAGATAGTTGATAGGCTCCATTGGTATGCACAAGATGGTGACATGGTAAGAATTATTTGCATTCTTTTTTGGGGTATATGAATGTTGTAGACAATTAACAATGTGTCTTTTGATCAAAGTGTACTGCTATAATTTATTTTCTGTGCTCTTTGGAAGTGACAATTTAAACTGCGAAATACATTAAAGTTATTACTACATTATACCTAAATTTAGACATTTCCTCTCATGGGTTCGCCCTCCTGGGGAAAAGATTAAAACTAAATTATAATGTTTGATCTCTTGATAATCCTGGGCAACTAGGTGTTGGAAGCATTAAGATACCTTCGCATTGCTAATTCGGTATATACATTATAGTTTTGTTTCTTTGAATTAAATATTGATTTTATTGGGTAACCTTTAATCAGAAATCATAAATCTAGTTTATTTTGACTCTCCCATTGCCCAAGACCGGATGTGAAAAAGAGTTGGGTTGGTGTCAGAGACAAATCTTTTATTCTCAATTAAATAAAGAATACCAAAATAGTAAATCACAATAGTTGGATCAAACTTGTTTCTGCAAGTCAAGTTGATTTGCGTTTTCTTTGAAGATGTGACCGTAAAACTGATTGAATATCACATGTTGATTTGGATGAACGATCCTGATGAACTTGAATCATGCACGCCTAGGTCAAGGTAAGATTGACTGAGTAGACTCTGGATTTTAGGACTCTGAATGGATTAATATTGACTTGGTTGACCCCATTGAACTTGGGCTACCAAGAGAAACATTCCGGCATGATTTCTATATATATATATTTTCCGGGTAAGTGAATTTTAGTATGATTTGAAGTGTAAAAAAAGTATTTTATCTGAAAAGAATGCTTCATTTGATGTCCATGATCTTAACGATCAATCTATTGAAAGCAGTGATGAATGATCTGCTCCTGACAAGAAAAAAGCTCCAAAGGTAGCTCCCATGGCAGTAGGGGTGGGTATTCGTTTAGCAGCCGGGCGTTCAGAACCAGCCCCGAGCACTTCTACATAAACAATTATAGCACGATTAGATATATTTTGACAGAATGTGAACAATTGATTGATCCATTGAAAATGGTCAGTGAGTCAACAGTAAATTATTGCAAGGCTCTAAATTCAACAATAAATCTTATAACTTGACAATAGCTCTGAGATTAGGATTGCTGATGCTTTAGCTGTTGAGCTGTTGACCGTTTCACTTTAGGGTCAGAAGCTGATAGCTGTTTATATTTTAAAGTATAATCCTTTTATTCTTCTTCCCACTGATATATACTTGGATATTTCCAACAAATGGATAATCAATCTGTCACTTTCTTTTTAGCATTTGTCCTCGGATTCTGTTTTATATTTTTCAAGAAAATTTTCCTCAAGAATGTTTGCAATTATATTTGTTGGAAATCATTTCTATAAGTTGACTCAATGATTGTGGCAGACTTATTGGGTCTTCATTATAGGCTAATGTTTAGGGATTTTATTTTTATTTTGATTTGATTTTTATTCTCTTTCCATATTTGTAATTTTCCTCTTGTATATAATGATACTCAGGCTCTCAAATTGAGAATACCATTTTTACCAAATTACTTTTTGGTATCAGAGCCTCAAACCTACGCCTCCCCCACCCTTTCTCTTTCACCGCCTCTTTTGATCTCTCTTTCTATCTCGTCACAGCTCCTTCCCTCTTCTTCAGGTCGCTGTTGCGAAAGTCTTGGGGGAGCCAATCTCCTCTAGGGTCGACCCCTGTTGGAGTATTCCCTTAGTCTTTTTCATGCACTAAGGGTCACATGACGTGTTTGCAATTTTTTAGGGCTGCTGGGATATTCGGCAGCATTTTCGGATCGGACTGCCGTGTCTCCGGCTTCTAGGTTTGATCAAAATCAAGTTTATTCCTCCTTTATTTGAAATTATTGGTGATTTGTTAAATCGTTCTATTTAATATTATGATTGATTCAAGTAATAATAAAGAAACTTTCTTTTTGGCGCAACACACACTGGCTCAACGAGTTACTAATTTGTTGTTGAATGGCCATAATTTTGCATCATGGGCTTGTTCCCTCCGCCTTTATGTTGGTCGAAAAGGCAAATCAGGGTGGTTTTTTGGCACTGAAAAGATGCCAGATATTAAAGATCCTAAATATGCTTAGTGGGATATGGACAATTGTACCATTTTAGGATGGATGTTTAATTCTATGGAGAAATGAATTTATAATATATTCATGTTTTATGACTCTGTTAATGACTTGTGGAATGCTTTGAATCAAATGTATGCTCATTCTAGGAATAATGCTCGTATTTTTGAGTTATACCAAGATATTGCTAAGGTCTCGCAGGAAGGCCTGAATTTGTCTGTAGCTGATACTTTGGGAATTTTATTTTATTTTATTATTTTTTTTTGGGATAAGTAATTACTTTGGGTATTTGAGATATCGTTGGGAGGAACTGGCTCAATATGAGCCTCTCAGTGAATTTCCTCTCGAGGCAGCCTCTCTTCTTGTCAAACATCTTGATCGTCAGCATACCTATTAGTTTTTTATGGGATTACGCCCATAATTTGAACCACTTAAGTTTTAGATCTTGAATGCATCACCAATGCCATCCCTGTTGGAAGCCTTTGTTACTGTTGATGGTGAAGAACACAAGCACCGTTTAATTCAGCCCTCACTTGTTCCTCTACTAGTGTCTGAGCCTGTTGGGGATAGTATGGCTTTTGCAGCCAACTTTGGATCACGTACTTCTGGAGGTTAGATTATTTGTCACCATTGTGGAGGGGTTGAACATGTTAAGGCTCGCAGCTTTAAACTTCATCCTGAACTAAAGAAGAAATTTTCTAGGAACTGTTTATCTGGAACTGGTTCTTTTCGTACTGCTGTTGTTGCAGAGACTCCTGTTGCTACTGGTGGATCTACTGTATATCCTGGACTGAGCCAGTGTCACTCGCAAATTGGGCAGATCCAAGACCAGCTTGGCTCCCTTGCTTCTAAAGTTGGTGTTCCTTCAGTTGCTCCCATTGCCTCTATTGCTACAAGTACTCTTGCTGCATTTCATGTTAAGGCCAAGCAGCTTACTTGGGTTCTAGATTTTGGGGTCAATGATCACATGACTGGTGAGTTATCAGTTTTTTCTTCCAATGTCATACCTGTTATCCAATCTGTATATCTTGCGGATGGCTCTACATTTTACATTCACAATAAGAGTGATGTTTGTCTGTCTCCTGATATTACTCTTTCATCTGTCCTTCATGTACCTAAATTTGCCTTTAACCTTTTATCTATTAGCCGGCTTGCAGAAAACCTCCAATGTGTAGTTATATTCTTACCAGATCACTGTCTGTTACAGAACCTTTATTCGAAGATGATTTTTGGCAGGGGTTATGAGCGTGATGGGCTTTACTACTTTGGGGAACCATAAGGAATGGGTTTTCAAGCTTCTGTCCTACTTGCTTCTAGTGCTTATGATGTTTCTTTTCGCACTTTTGGTTTTGTGGCATGCACGTTTGGGGCATGTAAACTTTCAGTATCTATGTTTATTGTTTCCTTCGTTAAATAAAGCATGTAAGGACCATAAGTTTCAATGTGAAGTTTGTGAGCTTTCTAAACATACTAGAACTAGCTATATTTCTCATATGAGTCGTGCACCTAGTATGTTTGATCTTATTCAATCTGATGTTTGGGGCCCTTCCCCAGTTACTGCTTTCTCTGGGCATCGATATTATGCGACATTTATTGATGATTATTCTCATAGTTGTTAAAGGTGCCGAAGGCGCCAACTCAAGGCGACTGCCTTGTACTAGGCGAGCGCTTTTTAGGATGAGGCGCAAGGCTATAGGCGCTGTAAAGGCGTGCCTGCTTGAAACGTATATGTATTTTTTACTTTTTTTGTTATTATTTTGATTGTGTATGGGTTTATTATTTGTTTATTGTTAGTTTAGTTTTTATTTATTTATTACTACACGACTACAAAAGAAAAAGAAAAGGAAAAAGGAGAACCAATTACCAAAAAGCAAAAGGACAGAGAACTGAGAGAAGTACGAGCCCGGAGCCTCATCTGCGAAGCTTGGAGTCTTGGATCTGCCGGATCTGCGAAGCCGGTAAGTTCTCCTTCCCTCTCTTCTTCTTCTCTCCTTCTTGCTTCTCGGATCTCTCAGTCTCAGACTCTCAGATTTTTTTTTTTTTTTCAATTCTGCTTCTTCTCTCGGCAGTCAGCTCTCTCGAGTCTAGGCTCTTGCTCTTCTTTTATTTTTATTTTTTTATTTTTTATCTCTATTTTTTTATTTTATTTATTCTTCTTCTTCTTTTCTTCTTCTTCTCTCGAGTCTTTTTTTATTTTTTTCTCTATTCTTCTTCTCTTGAGTCTCGGCTCTTCTTTTAATTTTTAATTTTTAATTTTTTTTCTCTATTCTTCTTCTCTCGAGTCTCGGCTCTTCTTTTAATTTTTAATTTTTCATTTTTTTTTCTCTATTCTTCTTCTCTCGTCTCGGCTCTTCTTTTAATTTTTAATTTTAATTTTTTTTCCTCTATTCTTCTTCTCTCGTCTCGGCTCTTCTTTTAATTTTAAATTTTTGTTTTTTTTCCTCTATTCTTCTTCTCTCTTCTCGGCTCTTCTTTTTTTTTTTAAATAGCATATCATTGTTGTAGATCATTGTCTTTCCTGGTATATACTTGTACCTGCATTTGTCAGTGCAAAAATTGACATGTTTAGCCGTCACTGTAACTTTGGAATTTGGGCATAATATGAGCTCTTCTTCTAGATATGTCATATGATGTTATTGCTTCACCTGTTATGTAATTATTCAGCCTTTGTTCTTGGTTTGCAGAATGAATAAACTCTTATAAGCAATATGGACATAAAAGCATACCTTTTACTATATATCATTGAAAAATTAAGAATTTAATTAAATTGTTAAGATTTCCTAATTAAGATTTATATTTAAATTGTCAGTTTGAATAAATAGCATATCTTATTAGAACAAGTTGTAGATCATGTTATGCTGCACCTTAATTTCACCTGCTTCTATATCGGCAGCATCATCACCTTCATAGCAATGCTCCATATCATTTGTATTTTCCATTAATTTATGTCATTCATTGACAGACAAAAGAGGAAATTCGATTCCTTGCCGGTTTGCAGTTGAAATAATCTGTCTAGTTGGTGTCAACACATATTTTATTTATATATATAAGTTGAGATCGAAATAATATATAAATAATATTCTGCTTTTTGCATCAACACTGCTTTTTTTATTTTTGCATGAAATAATATTATGCTTTTTGCATTTTGTCAAAGCTCTTTATTTATTTTTTTAAATTGAAATGTTAATCTTTATGTTAATATGTTTGATTATTCACTGTTGAACTCAAGTACTTGATTTAGTTGGTTTTGGCATCTTTATGTTGAATATTGAACTTAAGTAATTCATTTAGTTGACTTTTGCATCTTTATATATACTATTGCATCTTTAATACTTTATTGGGTGGGTTTTGTTTTTTTTTTTTTCAACTTGCGCCTTGCTTCAGTCGGGCGCGTGCCTGGCCTTGCGCCTCAAGCTCCAGGAGGCATTTGCGCTTTTGTGCGCCTTGAGCCTTTAACAACTATGATTATTCTCGTTGTACTTGGGTTTATTTACTGAAAAAGAAATCTGATGTGCTTCTTTTAGTTACCCAGTTTCTTCAAATGATCAAAACCTAGTATAACATTGTTGTCCGTAATATTCGTTCTGATAATGGATGTAAATATGTTTCAAATGAGTTCCGGACTGAACTTAATAAAAAAAGGGATTTTACATCAATTCACTTGCCCCTACACTCCTGAGCAAAATGGCGTGGACTGAACGCAAAAACCATCATCTTATGTTTGTGATCTGATGTCTTCTGAGTGGTATGCATATGCCTAAATTCTATTGGCATATGTCTGTTCTTATAGCTGTTTTCTGATTAATCGTACTCTCAGTCGAGTTTTTGGTGGTAAGGCCCCACTTCAGATTCTCCAGCCTGGTTATACATTGTTTCACCTTCTGCCTTGCGTTTTTGGCTGTACTTGTATTGTTCATAACCGTAGTCCTTCTCGTCATAAACTTGATGATAAATCTATTAGGTGTATTTTCTTGGGGTATTCTGCTATGTTAAAGGGCTATCGTTGTTATGATCCCGTGGCCAAACATATGTATTATTCTCTTGATGTGACATTTCATGAAGCTGTTCCTTTTTATAGTACTAATTCTGTGGTACAACATTTTCTCTCTTGTGGTCTAGAGAAGGAGATCTCTCCTATTGCCTGTCCTGTTCCTCTCTTTGAAAATCACACTGTACTGGAATCTCCTTCTCCATCCATACAGGGTTCCCCTCTACCTTTGTAGGTCTATTCTTGTCGCCATCGCACTCAACCTCCCCTGCCAGAATCATTTTCCGAACCAGGTTAGGTAACTCTCTTTCTCCCGTGGCTCCTACCATTCCTGAGCATACATCCCGTTATCTTACCCGTGATCGTCACCCTCCTAAATGGTATAGTTTCTCTAGTAGCATTAACCACCCTATTTCCCAGTATGTCTCCTATGATGATCTTTCAGGTGCATATAAATCCTTCCTGGGCAAGATTGGGACCGTTTCTATTCCTAGATAAGTGTCAGAGGCCCTCCAGGATCCCAATTGGGTGTCTGCCATGATAACAAGAATGGATGCTTTACAGCGTAATAATACATGGGAACTTGTTGCTTTACTTGCTGGGGAGAAAACGGTTGGCTGCAAATGGGTCTTTACTGTGAAATACTTAGCCGATGGTTCTATTGATCAATATAAGGCTCGATTGGTGGTAAAAGGCTTTACTCGGATTCCGGGCAAAAACTTTGGTGCTACCTTTGCTACTGTGGCAAAGTTGACGTATGTGCGACTGCTTATTTCCTTGTCTGCTGCCCATTCTTGGCCTCTACATTAGTTATATGTCAATAATGCATTTCTTAATGGAGACTTACTTGAGACTATATATATGGATTCACCCCCTGGATTTCGGGCTGAGGGGGAGTATGCTGAGAAAGTCTGTAGGCTGCGGAAATCTCTTTATGGTCTGAAGTAATCTCATAGAGCTTGGTTTATTCATTTCAGTGATGTTGTTCTATCCATGGGCTTTGTGCGCTGCCACTTAGACCATACTTGCTTTATCCGATGTCGTTATGATGGTCGCTGCATTATGTTATTGGTATATGTAGATGATATCATTATCACAGGTGATGGTGCTTCAGGGACTGCTCAGGCAAAACTTCATCTTCAAAAGTCCTTTGATGTGAAGGACATAAGTCCCCTTTGATATTTTCTTGGATTTGAGGTTGCTAGATCCCGTCGTGGAATTTCTTTATCTCAAAGGAAATATGTTTTGGATCTTTTTCCAGATACTGGCATGCTTGGGTGTCGACCTGTTTCCACTCCTATGGACTCCAATCTCAAACTCTCTGTTGAGTTAAGTGAATTACTTCCAGATCTGTCCGTGTATCAACGTTTGGTAGGTCGTCTTATCTACTTGACTAACACAAGGCCCGATTTGACATTTGTTGTTAGTGTGGTTAGTTAATTCATGCATGCCCTTCGCTCAGCTCATATGGATGCAGTCTACCATATTTTGAGGTATCTTAAGTCGTGCGCTGGCCTTGGTCTGTTCTATGCCTCAGAAAATCAGTCTGGACTCTCATGCTTTACTAATGCAGACTATGCTGGATGTAAGACAGATAGACGTTCTACCTCTGGCTTCTGTACTTTCTATGGTAATCATCTCATATCATGGAAGAATAAGAAGCAAGCTATTGTCTCCAGATCCTCTGTTGAAGCTGAATATCGAGCTATGGCTCAAGGTACTTGTGAGCTCCTTTGGCTTCAATCAATTTTGGGAGAGTTGGGTCTTGTAGAGAAAGGTTCTTCAAGGCTGTTTTGTGACAATAAATCAGCCATTATGCTTACTTCCGATTTTGTCTTACATGAAAGGTCAAAACATATTGAGATAGACATCTACTTCATTCGAGAGAAGGTTCGATCAGGTATCATTAAACCTATTTTTGTTCCCTCTTCAGAACAGACTGTAAACGTGTTCACAAAGTGTGTTGGGCCTTCTCTTCTCTAGTCTTCCATAGTCAAGCTGGGCTTGGTCAACATATTTGCTCCAGCTTGAGGGGAAGTGTTGGAAATCATATATATAAGTTGACTCAATGATTGTGACAGACTAATTGGGTCTTCATTGTAGGCTAATGTTTAGGGATTTGATTTTTATTCTGATTTGATTTTTATTCTCTTTCCATATTTGTAATTTTCCTCTTGTATATAATGACAGTCAGGCTTTCAAATTGAGAATGCCATTTTTACCAAATTACTTTTATATTTATATGGAACAATTCAATCATCTTTTGTTACTTATCTCTGCAAAGGGAAGTACAAGGTTCAAGTCTGTGAACTTCCTAACTTTACTTCCTATTTGCTTGTCTGAACCAGGCTTGACCTGAAGTTATATAGTCGGTAAAGAACTGTAAAATGTGGAGTAGGGACTGTCAGATTGTGAAAAGTATATGTTTGCAAAGAGATTCTTTGAGTTTAAATTATGAAGCTCCTGAAATCTTGTATCCTCAAAGAATTTGTACAGTAAATTTTCTATATTTATTTAAGAGCTGGGGAAATTTTTAAACACGAAAGTGATTCTCCTGTTGTGGAATAGCATCTTGTTTATCGTTGTTGGTATTGTTACTAATATGCTAATTTTTTTTTTTGGGTGAATGGGTAAGCTTGCTATGCTATTCTTGTTTCTGCTATTACCATCTTTATACAAAAGCAACATTTTTCTTGAAACAGATAGTCGACTTCTGCTGCGGTTCTAATGATTTCAGTTGCTTAATGAAAGAAAAGCTCGACAAAATGGGGAAGAGGTGCTCATTCAAAAATTTTGATATTATTCCACCAAAGGTGGGCATTTATTCTTCTTTTACTATTTCATACAAAATGGACTCTAAACTTAAGGCAGATTGTATTGGTTTGTGAAGGTGGAAAAATATCACAATATAATCATGGAGTCTATCAAAACTATGATAAAGATTTGCTTCAATAGTGCTGATTATTTATAGAAAATTTACAAAATGAAGAAAACCATATCCTCTTAAACCTTGTTTTGGTGTTCATATCTTATAATGTTTCAAAATATTAAAGAATTCTTTTATACACTTTCTTTTGTTTTTTGTTTTTCTCCTCTCTCTTTTATGGTCCTTTTGTCTTTATTTGGGGAACTTGAGTACCTCTTTCTCTTAATACAAAGTTTGCTCCCTTATAAAAAAAACTTATGTTTGGCTTGTTTCCTGTCTAATACTTAGTTTATTCTTCTTACGATCCATGTTGCATGGACTCTAGTATAGTGAATTCCTTTATACCCCTTTTCGCTTATGGGTCCTTCCACCTATTTTTATTTTAATGTAAGTCACTGGGTAAATTTATATACTAACATCCATTAAGACTTATATTTAATTCTAAGTAGTAATGGACAAATTTAATGTTTCAATAGACAATTAAATAATTTATATATTCAACTAATATATATGTCATCTACTATAGATGAACACTTTATCAAATCACACCGGTGGATTTAATAAGAGCAATTCATTTAAGAATTGTTATTCAGGGGGAAAAATCATTTAAGAATTTTTGGAATAACATCTTTGTTTATTAAAACAAGTGTGGATTCCATGTTGAAGTTTTATCTTTTATATATATAGATTTGATAAGTAGAGATTGCATCCTAAATGCATCCATATATCTGCCCAAGAATATATTTCCTGATGGTTAAGAAACACTGTTACACAAATCAGTGTGATAGTTGTTAGTCTCCAAGTGAATGTTCATCTGTTCATTCATGACCGAGAACAAAAGAAGTTTAAGAGGAACAGAAAAAAAAAATGTCTCTATCTTTTTTATTCTCTAGTCATTACTAAGCTTTTTCTACACCTTAACCTCAGGGCATGTTTTATGATTAGTATGACACCGTAAAGTACACTTGTATGAATGCAATATAATAATAAAATTATTTCCGAAGAATATAATAATAAAATTAATAGTTTATTAAACCAATAAAGTAAATATACATTGACTTTTATGGGCATATGTGTGTAATAGTCGGGGGTGTGGGCACCGACCATTCTCCAGCCTGGGTGCTAAGAACTCATGGAAACTTCCATGAGTTTACTTTCATCATATTGTGCTTTAAAGTAGCAAATTAGGCATGATGGCGATTTATTATTATTATTTTGGGAGAAGGGAGGGTGATCGTTATTGCTTTCATGTTTGGATGGGTGATAATTACTGTAGCAGCAGTAGCGGTGGTTTGTCAGAGATTGTTTGCTGTTTGACGGTGGATTATTGTTTATACAATGATGGAAGGGTTTTTTTTTTTTTTAGGATCTATGGTTGAAAAGGTGAGATTTTATTTAGGGTTGAAATGAGATGATATTGCATGAAGTCATAAATTAACGTGAGTTTTATAGTTTATCTTATAAAGAAAATATATATATATATATATATATATATAATTTAGGAGCTTCCAATGAGCAAAGGGTTTCTTGTACTAATTCTGGCTCTACAAAAAAGGTCAAACCATAACTACGTACCTCAAAAAATCTGAACATGAAATAAAAGTAAAAAATCACTACCCAACCCGCACAACGTAGATATTGTCCGCTTTGCACTCTCTTCTCTCAATGCTCATGGTTTTGCTCAAAATGCGTCTACATGGTTAAGGGGCGTCCACACATATAAATGCCAGAAACCTCTCCTCCCAGGCAACATGGGACATCACAATCACCCCCTCTTGGACTGGACGCTGGCCTGCCCCGCATGGGCTTGTGCATGCGCCTCATTTCCAGTTGGGGATCACTCTGATACCATCCGCCCCGCCTCGCCCCATATAGATTTTGTCCACTTTACTCACTCCTCTCGATGCTCACGGGTTTGCTCCAAAACGCGTCTACATGGTTAAAGGTGTCCACACATATAAATGACAGGAACTTCTCCCCCAGGCAATGTGGGACATCACAATTAGGGTGTTAGACAGCTTGCCTCAACTTGAATACTACTAGATAGGACCAAATGCCACCTTCCTCCCTTTAAAAAATACTGTAGAGTTGATTCACCATTGTGAGACTTATCTCATGCAACATGGAAATTAGATATTACCCTGTTGTTCACATCCATTGTGTGTGTTGGAAGGGCCAGACTAGGTACATACTAGAGTCCCGCTTAATTTATGTTTTCATTTTTCATAGCTAGAGCTTTTACTGTTGCACAGCGCAATGCCCCTAAGATCAAAAGTATTTAGTGACCCCCCTATATCACAAGAAGGAATAGATGTAGTTGAACCCTAAATAAGAAGAACAAAAATATGTTCTTTTGTCACTCAATAACAAGTGTTTCTGTTTTTAGATGTTCATCTTTAGGGATTGGGCATGGATGGAAACAAGACTGTTCAGAAAATCTCTAAGATTTTTATTTCACAGTTGCTACATTATGTGCCTGAGAAGGGACGATATTTAAACAAAACTTTGTTGTCTTTCATCAGGTTGTGTACAGATATATTCATATATATGGAAGTTGGTATTTGTATGGGTCTTATACATATATATATATACATATATATATATATATATTTGCTCATAGTTTCATGAATGTTGCCACTGTTTTATTATTAATATGGAAGGGACTTGCATATATTTAGCAGTTGCATTTATTTTTTGGGTTCTTTTTTTCTTCATTTTTCAATCCTCTTATCTATGGTAATTCCAGCCAGGGATTGCTTTATTTTTTGTGCTCGGGGTTTATTGTTTATTTTTTATTTTTTTTATTTTTTTTCCCAGAATAAATTTAATTTCAAGAAGAGAGATTGGATGAAAGTCCGTTTAGGAGAATTACCTGTAGGACCTCCATTGGTAAGAGATTAAATGACTTGTTCTCTAGTAATTTAGCAGAATATCTGGATCTCAAATCACTATTGTTGGTGATTCACCTTTTCTTCCTTATTGTTACTTCTTTGAATAGATCATGGGGCTTAATCCTCCTTTTGGTGTCCAAGCAAGCCTTGCCAACAAGTTCATTGACAAGGCTCTCATGTTCAAACCGAAGCTTCTCATTCTTATTGTTCCAAAAGCAGCACAACGGTAAGCACCTCACCCTTCATATTATTGCTCTGCCTGATGGAAGCTGAAGTTGACAGCTTGGAGTTGCTCCCCCCCCCCCCCCCCCCCCCCCCCCCTCCCCCCCCCCCCCTCTCTCGTTTATTTGCTGCGTTACCAGACTTGAAGAAAAAGAACCTCCATATGATATAATTTGGGAGGATGATAGGTTACTCTCAGGCAAGGTACGATTGTACAAAAGCAAGCAGTCACCTCATTTCTTTTTCAATTTTTTATTTTATTTTTTTGGGTAAAGCAAACACGGTCATTACGTCATTACAGCATTTACCTCATGTCTAAATTTGATGGATCTTATAAATTGTAAAATGAAACTCTCAAGTGGCTCATTTATTCTTACTCTTTTTTTATAGTCATTTTACCTACCTGGATCAGTAGACGTGCATAACCAGCCGCATTTGGATCAATGGAACTTGGAACCACCACCACTATATCTCTGGAGTCGCCCAGATTGGACCGCAAAGCACAAAGCAATAGCTCATGATCATGGCCACTCATACAAGAAGCAAAATGAGATGCCTGCAGAAGGAAACAATGTTGAATTGCCTCTTAACAAATTTTCAGTGGAGGAGAATCATGATCGTTATGGTGATTTCTCCAATATAATGAATGGATATGGTGATATCGGTAACATATTGTATGATGTTCCTGAAGAACTTTATGATACTGAAACTAAAGCAACTGTCCTTGACAAGCCGGTAAACAGCCAGTATTTTGGTGATGGCAGCTGTGGATGGAACAATCTGTCTGAATATCCAAACGAGATGCAGGACGAAGGAAAGGACATATTTCTGAATGAAGCATCACAGATGGGAAAACTGGACAGTGGGGAACCTCTGCTAAACGAAGAAGATATGTGTGTGGACATGGACGTGTCAACTCCGACAACTCCAACATACTCCCCACCCAACAATACAGACCTCGGAAACTATTTTGAAGACAAACCATATGTAGCCCTTGACACTCCCACAAAGATGATTACTACAGAAGAAGGTCTTCATCATCTCCAACCGAGCTTTTCAGGACATCATTCGGAGTTTGGAACAGAAAATACCAGTTTTCCTAATGCCACAGAAGGGGAGTACGGGCAAATGAATGAAACCTTTCCATATGGGACATATTGGGGGTGAATTGACACTAGTCACTAGTTATGGTTTCAATAGCAGATCTTTCTACGTGAAAGGTATTGTGGCCAACTTAAATCAGTAGTTAACATGATTGTCTTGAGTAATGTTAACAATATACCTTGTTTAGTCCAGCCTTTGTTGTAGTTATGAGATCAGCAAGAAAATGTATTTGCCATATATATATATATATATATATATATATATCACACAATGTCACACGCATATAGTTCAGAATCAAGACTGGAAAGTCTTTGGTATGAAAGTGAAGGACTATTTCATATTGCAGCGGACTTCTAAATTTAATTTGCAAGGACAGATCGAACCAAACATGGAGTTGTCTACTTGGAGTCAACATTTAGGGATATAACCCTGGGGCATGGGTGGGAACACACAACCCCCCTGCACCTTATTCATGTATTGCTCATACTCTAGCCCATGTATATTATTTATGAACATGGATATATGCATGGATGCATATATATATATATATATATATATAGGTTACATATGGAACTAGATTTAAGGCTTGGCTTTCATTTCTGTGTTGCCAGCTTCTTCTGCATCAGAGCAGCCAGGGCAACGTCCACCTCTGTGACGCCCTCCTCCACCTCTTCCATAACCACCGCCACCGCCACGTCCTCCTCCATAACCACCGCCACCGCCACGTCCTCCTCCATAACCGCCGCCACGTCCTCCACCGTATCCGCCGCCATACTTTGCATCATCTATCTGCTCATTTGTTTCATGATCAGCTGCCTCAGCTGCACACAGATCAATAAAAAGCTTGTTATATTTATTCTACATAACTATAAACAGAGTCTGGTTTAAATGATTTCTCCTTAAAAATATATAAATAAAATAAAAATTATCCCAATTGTTTGAATAGTTATTTATTATAGTATCCTGAAAAAGTGATGATACTCCTTTGGATGTGGGTTGGTAATCTAAAGAATATCACTCATCCAGTAAATTTAGTGACTAGTGAATACTAAATTGACATGCATATGCTAAGTTTGCCTTCTGTTTCCATTATACATACATACATACATACATACATACATATATATATATATGACTCTTACCAGCATTTTTGCAGCACTGCTTGCATCCATAGTAGCCCCAACCACCACAGCAGCCGTAGTAGCAATGGTCCCCATAATGATAATGATCGGTTTCTTTCACGGCATCCTCTGACAAGTTTATTTTCCATTTAATGCATGTGTGATAAAATACATATAATTATATTTTTTTCTTGGCATCTAAGCAACTCACACCCCCATTTCATCTCACTTGAAGCATGAAATCTGGACGTCTCTTTAGGTGAAAAATTATACCAAATAAGCGAAGAGTCCAGTAAGGCCTCTTCACCTTATTCTACACCCTCTTATTTTTTTTACTTTTTGTTCGGTAATAAAATTTCATTGAAGGGCTGTTGGTATGTATTGTGTACCGGAAGTTTTATTTTAGCCTAATACAAAACAAGTATTTTGTTAATTATCAAATTTATATATATGTGGCTGACTCCAATTGCATGTGTACTAGGAACTATACTTTAAAACATATATAGTGTGACAGAATATGTATATTATATATGTATGTTTATGATAACTTAATTTTTTTTTCAAAGATAGAAAAGTATTTTATATAATAACTGTGCAGGCTAACCTTTTTCAGGCATGGATTCAGTTTGGGCAGTGAAAGTTTGAGCCTCATTGGCGTTACTGCAGCACTTACTGCATCCCCCGTATTTTCTGTAACCGCCACAGCAGCCGTATCTGCACCTACCTCCACCTATTTGATCTGTTTCCTCCTCCGCTGCACAAGTTAATCAAAACAATGTCATACACACACACACACACACGTAATGGAAAATATGAACGCATAATAATCATTTATATATGAAGAGACTCTACATAATGGTCAACATGAAAGTATTCACATGCCAATTTACATTAACTTACCAAACAAATTAAAAGAATAATTTAAATTTTTTTTTTACATTAGTAAGCTTTTGAGGTGGAGTTTATACCAATGAGCTTATAAGAATTTACCTTTAAAATAAATTTTTTTATTTTTTTTAAAAGAACACTATTCCAAGAGTCTAGGGATTTGATGGCATATAATATTGTTATTTTCAGTTTCTCAGGTTTCCATTTTGTCCATAAGCTTGTTCTCCTCTAATATGATTTCACTTAAATACCAAATTCAAAAATAAAAAATAAAAAAAAAAGAAGAAGAAAAAAGAAACGAAAAGAAAAAGAAATATCTCACTCTAATTACATCTGTGCTATTAATGATTGTTGAGTGATATCTCCTCTACTTCTCAAAAAGAGAGAAGTGAGGGTTCAAGTCCCACACAAGTAAATAAAAATAAAAATACATGCGTAGTATATATGTATGTGAAATACTTATATATAATTTTTTTTTTAAAAAAAAAATTAATAAAATGTATGTGTCTTTGAAGTATCAAATAGGTTCCTTAAATTTGAAATTGAAAAAATTTTAGTACCAAGTTTGAACAATATTTCCTCCAATTTCAAATAGCTAATATGTATATATATAAAATTGTGCGAGCTTATAACCTTTTTCAGGCACAGATGTGGTTTGGGCAGCGAAAGCTTGAGCCTCATTGGCATCACTGCAGCACTTTCCGCATCCGCCATATTTACTATAACCGCCGCAGCAGCCGTATTTGCAGCGAGTATCTGCTCCATTTGTTTCCTCCGCTGCACAAGTTAATTAAAACAATATAATATATATATTTATAGTACTTGTAGTAATAATAATCATCATCATCATAATCACAATAAACGTTATAAAGCTTGCACTCGACTTATTTATTATTATTTTAAAATAAAAAAATAAAAAGAAATGACATAATCACTACTTTAAAGGTGACATGTAGGATTAATTGAAAATAAATGATGTACAAACTTTTTTTCACGTCTTGGGATGTCTCTTCTGCTGCAGTTGAAGAGATGAGAAGACTGGCTGCAAACAGAACACAAAGGAATACTAATATAAAAGCCTTGGAACTCATTTTCTCTCACTAGAAAGTACCTTTTTTTTTTCAGCTGAGGGATGGAAATACTAGCCCTTCACTTGACCTCTATATATAGGGGGAGAGGAGGATTTAGAGATAGTATGAGAGAAAGAGTCCCCAAAAGTGTAGGACGTAAGATTACTAAATAGGGTTGTGTCCTATATTGTTTAGGGTGTGGTTGTTTGTTGAAGGTTTTTTGGCTTTTCATACACATTTCATCAAAATCTTATCATATTTCATGATCAACACAAACAAGGATGTAGATTGATTCAACACAAAGCCAGGTGGAGGAACTTGGGCTACAATGGGACATGGAATGGTGGCATCTGGCAACTGAAACTAGAGACACCTCAAAAATAGCGGGAAAAAAAATAAAAATAAAAAATTGAGATTACTCCAAATGAGAGCTACCTCATGCCATGCATTTTGTTAGTAGGTGGTCAAATATTTCTGCTATATATGTGGTTTATAGCTTATGTCATTGTCTTAATATTAGTCTAACTTGGTCTACTTTCCACTCCTATCTTTATATATATATATATATATAAAAATATATATGAATATGTGATAAGATTCATGTATATCTGACAAGAGCAAGCTACAACTACAGATGCCAGGTTTTGATGCATGTCTCTACAAAATATAAGAAATGATGGGCTTTGGGCAGTAAGGTTAGGTTGTAAAAGGATTGTTGGGCTTAGCGTTGCTTAGCTGGGTGTGGGCTTTGCCCTTGTCTTGGGCTCACTCGTGAGCGTTGCCCATTTTGTTAGATAGGTCCAATGCCGTCACGACTGCACAATATGTGAACAGTGTGAAAATCACAAGATCCAAAGGCTTGCGACACACAATACTCCAAGGGAGTTGCAAGAGTGCAACACACTACGCCGAAAACACAGCACTATTAAATCGAGAACACAACAACATTATATGTATATATATATATATATATATATATATATATATTACAGGTACAACTACAATTTTTTAAGGTTGGCTTCAGTTTCCACCTCCATTCCCTCCTTTTGCAACCTGTTTAATAGTAAATACAGCCACCGCGGCAATAACGTCAACCGCCATGGGATACCCATCATATCCACCACCTGCATGTATATGTGTGTATATATATATATATATATGTATATGCATGTTAGTTAGTACAATGGCCGTTGGGCCTGATGCATAGACGAGTATCTAAGTGCCTTGAAGTAGAGCCAGCCCTACCACCTGGTCTTCCTCTTCGCATCCACCATCTTTTCAATTTCTCTCTTCAATGCGTGCATGTTAGCTGGTATAAATTATGGCCAAATCAATAGTCAACGGTGCTACAATTTCTCTTGAATTAACTTTACAACGTTAAGAACATTTTTTTATATATATAAAAAAATTTACTCACCCACATGTAGAGTTTGTTGAGACTTGAACATACCACTTATGTCAAGGCTGAACATAACAGATAATTAATGTACAATATATATGAATGGGCAATTAAGTTATATATGGTGACATAGTTGCACATGGAAGTTTGGAACATAGAATTGGTATTTGGGTCCATACATGATTTATATCAAAAGTGCACATTGATCATATGTACGCACTAAGTTCAACCAATATCTTTGTTTATAACACACAAAATTAATTTAAAATGTCTTTTTTAGACTTTTTTTACACGGGTGATATTATGTCATTAGGGTCATCAACCAATTATATTTTGCCACATGAAAAAAAAAATGCATTTATTTAGTGGGTTCTATTATTATGTGTTAACAACTAATTAGTTGATGAATACCATGTCATCAATATACTGGGATTATTAAAGTATTTCTCTTATCTAAACACCACATTAAGTAATGAGAAGAAAAATGAACAATGAAAAACTAGAAATGGAAGAAATTATTGAGTACCGTGAGATACGTTAATATAGTATTCGATTCTATGCAGTAAGTAATTATTTTCTATTAACAATATTAGTGAGTGTTTATCGGATCAGATGAACGTACTACATTGTCGCTATTCCTCGAAAACCCAATAACTTTTGTGCTAAAGGAAATTGGTCACACATGGCCAAAGTATCCATTTTTCTTCCTCTGCTAACAAGAGTCCAACAATGCTTTCGGATATTTAAATCGTATTGAGATTTGTGGAGGCTAAATCATTGTTGAGGATTACATTCCAAAAGACTTGGACTAGTCTAACTTTTATGTACCGGTGCAACTAGACTCTCTCAAAATATTTTTGGCTATTGGGGTCAAAATAGACCGGTTAAACTAACAGCTAAACGGTTCAACTTTGGCAGAGAGATCCACAATGATGTTTTACATCAACTTGGACTAGTCCAATATGCCGAGAAGTGCGAAAATTAGTTGTTTTTTGTTTTTTTTTTTGGAGTCTCCAAAAGGGCATGAATCGTAGGGCAAGTTCTTTCACTATATATATTAGGTTTTGGTACCAACCCTAGTTGTACAAGAGGGGTGAGATCATTGTAGGTGCACAAGACAGATCAATAAAGAAATTGAGCGGAAAATTTTCCATTGTGTTCTCATGTCATCATTTATTTTTCTTCATAATTATTTATGTGTATTTTAGAGTTTTCGTCACAACTAATCTCAGACCATTAGATAATTTACAACAAATTCTTCGTCTATTACTTAAAATATATATATATATATATAGATATTACGATCCCACATGCTTCGGTGAGAGAGAATTGCCATTAAAATGTGTATATTAAATATATTGGTCCAATGATATATGGTTGGTTGTGGAATAGTTGATTTGTAATTAACTCAACACCAAAGCTTGTGATGCATTCCGTCTTTAAATCTTTTTCATTTTTAGGCAACATGTGGTATAAATAATAGCTAGAGAATTCAGCTTTTGTTTGACCTTTGAAACGCCAAACAACTGCCTCAATCAATATTCAATAATAATAATATATATATATATATATATATATATATATTTTGACGGAACAATATTCAATAATTGGTTATAATGAACTATGTGACCATTGACGGAGGGTACTCAATCAGCATTGAAATGGTGACAGGCAAAATGTTGACACTTTTGCATTTAAATTGATAAATTTTAGTATAAATTGAAAAAAAAAAAAAAAAGAAAGAAAGAAAGAAAGAATTAACTATATAAACTTTCACCTTTTTTTTTTTTTTTTTACTCCAAAAAAACTTCCACACTTTTTTATAAATTATCCCTTGACTGAAAAAATAATTCCTCGATCTTTCAAAAATCAATAAATAATACCCGGCTATTAATTTGTGTCAAATCAAAACTCATACAAAATTTTAATTTTTAGCTCAAATCTTGTTCGACAAAAATATAAATTCATTGTTTGTAGTTTTTTCTACATTATCATTGTTTTATTTACATTCACATATACACATGCAACTATAATATATATTATATGAATTCAAGAGATAAAAGAAAAAAAAAATCATTAATGTCTCCTCATATTTAATAAAAATACATGAACTTTACTCTTCAGTCATTTTCGTGTAAAATAGTAAAAATTAAAATATTGTATATATACATAATGACAAGAATGCCAAAAAGTATAATATCATTGTATATACTACTAATATTTCCAGTTGTCCATTTGTTTGATGTCAAATTTTATAACTACTTTTTCTATAAGTTATTAAAGCACTTATATATTTTGGTTCTTCTAGCAAATTGTGTTTTGACTAGTTAAAATATTATAATTTTTTCTTGGCACTTCTCTATTTTGTTCTTTCTGATTGTGTTTTGTTTAGTTAAAATATTATATTTTTCTTTTAACAATTTTTTTTTTTTTTTAATGCTAATTGTGGTTTGCTTTTATTTGGTTGATGCAAATTGTATCTTTTTTTCCCGGTAACGGGAGTATGCAAGATTTTGTCCCGACTAATTAAACCACTCGGACTATGTTTGTATCCTAATTGTATTTTGCTTTAATTAAATATTATATTTCTCTCTTAATATATCATAAGGTAACAATAACATATTTTCACAAAATGAAATTAAAATAATCATTTTTTTATTTTAAAAAACTAAAACAATTGTTGAATAAAATTAAATCTTGAACAGTGTTTTTTCGTTACAACTTCTTTTACATGAATCTTATGTTTCACTTTATTTATTTACTTATTTTTGTTTTTTGATTTCATTTTCCATAACTAACTAGGTTGTTTTTCTCATTTTTGGATTGTATGTTGCTCAATTATTCACTAACAAGAATAATATTATATATATATATATATATATATTACTATTAATTAATAAATTTTACAAGTTCTAATCACATGGTAGTAGTGACCTGACTTTGCAATTATAAGAATCTCGTACATTATAATTACCTTCTTTTTTAAGTTCTCTTCATTGCATTACTGTGACTTATTGATGATTTGCAAACTACAATAAACACATAATAAAACATGCATGCACAAGTTGATTTCCAAAATACATGAAACACATAATTAAATATCACTTAATACATTAAAAGCTTATCATTATAAACTGCTTCAAAATACATGGAAATCCAAACAGTAAATGAAATTGCCTTTCAAGGGCAACAACACATATCCAATCTCACCGGACACAAGGGCAAGGTCATTAGTACTCATGCCTTTATGTAAACTTCTAATGACCTGCTATTATTGCAATGCCACCATATAATTAATATATATAAACATTGTAGATATATAATTATAGATATATATATGGTGCTTCAATTGTGTGAGGCTTTGCTTCAGTTAAACCCTCCACGCCCACGGCCACCCCCGCCACCGCCACCGCCACCGCCTCCAGCACCGCCTCCACCACCTCCGCCAGCACCACCTCCGCCAGCGCCACCGCCGCCAGCGCCACCGCCGCCACCACCTCCTCCGCCGCCGCCACCTCCTCCGCCGCCGCCGCCACCACCTCTGCCTCCGCCGCCACTGCCACCACCACCGCCACGGCCACCCCCGCCTCCACGGCCACGGCCACCTCTTCCACCACCTCCACCACGACCACCACCACGTCCATATCCACCACCACGACCACCACTGCCGCCATACCCGCCGCCATACCCACCGTAGTTGGCATGATCTAGCCCATATGTCTCAGTAGCTGCACATAAACACGTTATTTAATGTAATGGGGCGCTAAATTGTTTTAGTTGCAAATGGTACTTAAACTCATTGGACATAATAACATGAAAACTAAGATGCATGAAAATTTGTGACGCAGATTGTAAATAAAATTACTATGTTGTGTGTGTGCGCGCAATGTACATGCAGCTTAAACTCACTCATTTTCTCAGGGGGAGTTTCAGCCAAGTCTCTAGCTGCCACCTCTGAAGTAATGAGAAGAACAAGAGCCAATAAAAGACCAAGGAAAAGAGTTGCCTTGGAAGCCATTTTCTAATGAAGGATGAGAAAAGTAGTATGTTCTCTCATCTCTATTTATAGGGTCAGAGAGAGTAATTGAATGTGTATAGTCATTAAAATGTATATATAATATATAGATATATACCTCCAACAGCAAACTACATCATGGCCTAGATACATACTGTAATATTGTGTATATACATTTTAATGACTATACACAATATTACAGTATATATCTAGGCCATGATGTAGTTTGCTGTTGGAGGTATATATCTATATATTATATATACATTTTAATGACTATACACAATATTACAGTATATATCTAGGCCATGATGTAGTTTGCTGTTGGAGGCTTAACTTTAGCTTTTAATTCATAAAAAAGTCAATATCATCTTATTAGCTAGTAATCAAATTCAATCTCGTGTGGGAAATTTTTTCTATGAGAGCAATACTTGCTAAGATATCAAAATTCCCACGCTCATGTGACATCGCAACTATTCAATCAAACAAACGAGAACCAAATTCACATGAGAGTGTCATGATAACATTTTCCTTTTTTGTAATGAATAGCAGTGAATGAAATGTGGACCATATTTCCAGTGGTTAGCCATTCGTTGTAGTCCACTCAACTTGTTTTCTTATAGTTTCATGGCCTAACCGTTGGGAACAGAGGCTCATATTCCTAGTCATGGACTTAATTAAGTTATTATTGAGAAGTATGAATGGGGAGTCATGTAACTTGTAAAAGCAGTCTTGCGAGGGTATAAGTTGTGGACAGTGGATAAAGAGAGTTTACGACTTTTGTAATATCTTTATATAATTATAGTAGAATATCCTCGTCTGACGTAGCTTTGTGTTTGGGTGAATTATGTAAATCTTGAAATACCTTCATTTGACGTAACTCTTTGTTTGTTGTGGCGTACTATTACAATTTAGTCAAAATGGACGCGTCCAAAATAGTGTTTAGCCTAAATAGACCAGTTCAATTGTCCAGACCAGTCCAACTATGGCAGATTCATGTTTGATAATTTTTGCATGTGCAGCCTCCTTCCACTTTCTGATGCACCCCTAACACTAACAACATGGGCTACACCTTCGTAGTACTTTTTTATTTTTAATATATATTTTTTAAAAGTAAACATGATTACATTGACAATACTATCGATACTTAATTAATTGAGTTTGAATATTGAATACGCTTAATTTCTTCTTTAAAGAAGAGAGATCATTCTACCTGAACTAATATCTTTTTGTTAAAATGATACCTTTCCCGCCAGGACGTACTCCAAAAGATGAAGATGCCCATATCAGAATCACATGAAGGAACACGAACTGTTGTTTCTCTATGCATGTCTGATGCGAACGAGTTGTTTGACAATGCAACCGTTGGGCCACCAGTTACGACTTTCTTTGAAGGGAGGGTACTACTCCAACTGCTCATTGATCACGTGCGAGCCTTGCGTCACTGCGACAATGTAATGACCTTGTCATTTTCCTTCCCAACTTTTTCCGAGTTTTCTTTTTTCGTCATTTTTCACTGTCTTTTCATTTTGTGTAACCTATCGGGTCGTGCTCAGATTTCATTTCGGCCTTGCATGCATTGATTTTACTTGATTTTCATGTGATACGCATTTTTACTTTTGTAGAAAAGCATGCTAGATGTTTACTTTTACCCTAGGGGCGTAAATGCAAATATTCTTGAAATTATGTTCTTTACTTGGGGTATTTTTTGTAATTATCTTTTGATGATATTTTGTATTTAAGGTTCTTTTAAATGTATCTTTTGAATGACACTTCATTTTGGGCTTTTTGGGAAATTCACTTTTTGAGTTATTCAGTATTTGCGTAATTTTGAAAAGTTTTCGAAAAAGTTTCTCGTTTTTAGTTCAAACCTTTATGATGGGATTATTTTCACTTTTTATGGATCTTGGCACTTCTGAAATATTTTTTCGGATTTTTATTCCATTTATTCGAACCCCGTTAGTCGTCAAACTTGTTCGGGGCATATCTTTTTGATCGGGACACGATTTTTTACTCTGTTTCTTCCGTTGATCTTAGAATTTCATTTCGAAACTTTTTCATTCACGGACTTTCTTCATTTGAGCGTGTCTTAACATATTTCACTTTTTAGACCCGGACAAGGCCAGTTCAAATTGTTCGAGACACCTTTTTGATCTATTTAGGGTATGTGGATGACAGAGAAAGTCATTTCACCTTTTTCACTTTCCAAAAATAGCAGCTATAGCCACCATTAGAGGAGTTTGGGGCTGCCCTCTCTCTCTTTCCTCTTTTCATCTACTTCCTATTTGATTCGCCCCTTCCCGATGAAGATTTTTTTGATGTCCTCGATGACGCTGTGATGTCTATCCGATCAGTTTTTAATTTGCAGCACTTTAATTTTTGGGGTGTGAGTTCAAGCTTGGATTTGGGTCTTGTCACAAGATCGAGGATTTCTTGCTCTCCTTGTTGTCCCTGTTATAACCCCGAAGTTTCATTGTATTTTGTGGAGTTTGATTTTTGTGTGATTTGAGATTTTCATCTCAAAGTGAGGTAGGGGGTGTTTCATATTTATAATCTTAGTGTTTTACATGTTTTTGAGGTTTATATAACTTGTATGCATGTTTAAAGTTTAGATCTAGAAATGGTTTTTATTTTAATTAAATGATGATTTAATTTTATAGTTGAAGCATGCTTAGATTTAATTAAGAATATGATATTTGGAAAGCTCATGACTTGTTATTCATCATATATTATTTTTGAAATTTTTTAATGATTTTTGAAATCTAGAGATTTTTAATTTATTAAGTTAATTAAAAATTAACTAAGTGTTTTAATGATTTAATTATAATTTTGATTTGTTATTTGAGTTATTCATGGTATGTTGCTTAATATGTGTTAATTTCATGTCATTTCGTGATATTTTGCAATCTAGAGAAATTAATTAATTTTTATTTAATTAGTCTCCATTTTATGTAATTATAATTTATTTGCATTCTTTGATATTTTCAAGGCCTATTATGTTACATGCCATGGTAGTTGAGGACCTAGGGCATGTCTTGTGTGTTCCCACAATTTGATTGTGTATGGTAATTGGTTAAGTGCATTAGTATATGTGTATATACTTGTTGAGTTTATGTGATGGCTAGGGTTCGGCTCTAGTACGGGAATAGGGTTTCCCTTAGTCACAAATGCACACCAGGTAGTTCCTTGTGGGTCGTAATTACCTAGAACAACTTGCTTGGTCTTATGACCACAGTCCTAGTCTTTCCGCTTGTTTGATTTTGCATTTCAATTCCAAGTTGTTTACTTTGTGAACTTATATTTCGTTATTTGGCATTTGAAATTTTAGTGTTACTTAATTACTTATTTATTGTGGATTATGATGAGGATGTTCTTATGTAGTTTAGGATGATCCCTTAGTCTTACCTTGGACATAGACGTTATGTGGCATGAACCACATCGATTGATTTATATAAATTTGTAAAAATTTGTAAAACTTTATGTTATACGCATGTTCATTTCCTACGAGTAACTTGTTTACTTACCCTCGTTGTTTGGATATTTTTCAAGTAAAGAATCATGTTTTAGGGATGTACAACATCCTCGAACTTGCTTTGTGGATTGATGAGTGTGGTGTACAACTTTACATGCATTGCTAGTATGATTTTGCCTTATCTTTGGTTAATTATGTCAAAACTTATACTTTCGATTCAGGATATGTAATAAGTACCTAAATGTATCCTTTAAGACCTTTTTGACATGTATGTGATGAGGCCAATGGCTAAGAACCTTATGCTTTACTTTTATGCTATGAGAAAATGCAAAGCTTTAGCACGTCCATTTCATTTTGGTTGGTGGGAATTGCATTTTGTCACTTTCCCTAGTGCTCTTTTATTATATGTGACATGTGACCAAGGGCCAAACGGTTCTTTGAATGCATCTATGGTAATTGACTTCATAATTTGCTTAAAAAGGGCATTTTTCATGATTTTGAAGTTTGGACATGTCATATTTGGCACAGAGTGTATTTTGATGTCATGGACCATTGGAACGCATTTTATTATATATACTACGTTTACGGGAATGTTCACTTTGCACAAGATATCATGGTTGCATGATATGGTTGATGGTAGGATTCAAACTTTCCATTTTAAGTCATTTTTTAGGTTTAATGGGTCGGATTTTGCATTGGGCATATTTGGGGGTCACGGACTATTCCCGCATATTTTAAAACACTCATTACACTTGCGTGCAAAATCGTTTTAGCACACAACTTCATATTTGGTCATTTGAACACTTGAAGCAAACTTGCATTTTAACATTTGTCATCAAAACTGATCTCAGGGGTATTTTAGGCATTTCAGGTCAAAAATAAAATTTTCTTTCAACATGGTCAGCCAGAAAACGTGATTTTAAGGACGGTTTCTACTTCGTGTTTTTCCAAAAAAATTCGTTTAAACCTTGAAAATTACATTTTTCAGTAACTTAAGTCTTATTTGGGTCACAACCGGACGATCGGTTTCCTATTTCGGCTGAATCTCCTTGTTATTTCAGTTTGCTGAAGTGATTGGGTTCATTTCGGTCGACCTAAATGCCTTAGGTTCATTGCTTTTTTGTTTTGGGACAACTTTATTGCCCGAACTTCATACAGTCATAACTTTTTCATTTCTAATCGAAATGAGGAAATTCTTGAGTCTAAATTCAAAGATTTTGAGTCAGCTTTCCAATGGTACCAATGCCATTCTCAGATTCAAATCACAGTGAAAGTTATTCATATTTTTGTGAGATAATGTCAGATTTTTCTTAAACAGGGAATTGGTGCTTTGTGGGATTCTTGGCCAAAGTTTTTAGAACCTCTCGGAATGTCATGAAATGATTAGATTAGGTTGTATGGACCTCATTTGACTTGCTTGGAGTCAAATTTTCCTTTTTATTTGTAATTTGACCATTTTGCTCTTTGACCATACTTGGTCTATTTTTCAATCGTAGCTTCCATGTTCATTCTCGTTGAGTTCTGTGACCTCATG